TTGGAGGGATGAAGCAGAAGGTTCTCGCTGCACCTCATGGCAGACTGCTGACGGCAGATATTTAACCAGGTGCACTGAACTGGGCAGTCAGGGAAGGGTCGGCTCCTCCTCTGTCCGGCTCTCTTCGTAAGGGACTCTGTGACACTTTTATAAACATAACTTTGATTTCTGCATAAGAAGGCTTCCCAAGCTTGCTGTTTAGCAGTGGCTGCTGCAGGGAATTATTAAAGTGGCAGGAAGAGAGCCCTGGCTACCTGAGCCAGGACATTCCCTGCGGGTGTGTTGGAACGAGAGTGGGAGGGGCGCTGGTCAGGAGTCCCTCCCCAGTGCTCTAGGACTTCAGTGTTCTCAGACCAGCTGGGCTGCTCCTCTGAGCTGGGATGCTGACCCACACAGCCCTGGCTGTGGCATCCACAGGACGATGCCCTTGGCAGTAATCTCGCTGGGGCTGGGGACCGGGTGCTGAGCAGGCCACACTGAACAAAAGGAGTGTGTCCCCATCACTAGGCTAACATCTGAGTTTTCTTTCACAGAATTTGATAATAAAGTCAGAAACGAGGCCAAAGATGATTCTGGAGGCAATTGGGTCACACGCTCAATTAGAGTGGTCACACACTAATTCCAGAAGCTGAAAAACTCCAAGGCCAGACTGGCCTCTGAGAATGCCTGAGTCCTTTAGATTCCACTGGAAAAGCCACGGATCTGTGCCAAGTGCGTGGAGAGCTTCAAGAGCCATATAGTCCTGGCCACCAGTGAGCACAGTCACATGGGGGAGTAGCCCTGAAAGTGTCCTGGTGTGGCAAAGGCTTTCTACTAAGTGCAGCTCAGATGGCACAGGAAGGCCCTCCTGGGGATGTGGGAGGACACTGCCCAGTGGGTGAGGACTGCTCTTTCAGGTGTGCACATCAAATGTAGAGACAGCCTCTCCTGGCTGCCAAGAAGCCTATGCATGGCCCAAGACCACAAAACACTGGCAAACCGTCATGACCCAGAGGCCCTGTGCCTGTCTGGAGTGTGCTCCGTGTGTCTGTGCCCCACAGCTTTTCCTGGCCCGTTGGAGGGCCATAGCACTGCAGGGCTCTTCTGTTGTCACGAGTGCCAGTGCCCTTGGTGGCTGTCCTGAGCGTGGCAAAAAGTTCAAAACAGGACATCTCTGGGCAGCCATTCCTAGGGGTAGAGGGGAGCAGCAGCCATGTGGGTGTGAGTGTGGCAGGAGCTGCAGTCAGAGGCAGCATCTCAAGAGCCCTGGGAGCCGGGGCCGGCCACATGAAGCCCACCAGTGTTGGTGGCATGGGAAAGGGACACAAAGATCATACTGACCCAAAAGAAGGCCCACAGTGAGGGGGCCCCACTGAAGCATCCCCAGCAATGGGGCTGAGGCATCTGAGGCAGCCAGCCCAGTCAGAAAGGCCTGCTGACTGCACTCTGGATGTCAGGAGCACTCAGGAAAAAGACAGGCAGGAGTGCAGCACCTTTTGGGGCCTCAGATGGCTCCCCTCCCTCTATCTCCAGCTGGAGTGATAGAAGAGGCTGTGCTGAGAGCTGCCTCCCTGGGAACCTACCCTGCCTAGCCTGAGATGGGGGCCACCGGCATCATGCTTCCCTAGTGAAATCCATCTGTCTTGAAGGGGACCCCGGAGGGGATCAAGGAGACCCTGTTCACCCCCACCACAGGGTCAGGTCTTCACCGCATGGAGGCCACACTGACTTCCAGTCCCAAACCTAAAGCCCTGCTGCCTGTGCCTCTGCCTTGATAGTTGTTTCAGTGTCTTTTTAAAAAAATCACGTACACTCAAGTAAGGCTGAGTCTCCTTACCAAAGAGATCTGGTGGCATCCCAAGTCTCTGCAAACCTTTGCTGCAATACCACTGGAGCATGCCACCCCGAGGATGTGGAGCTGCAAGGGCTGGCGGGAAGGCTCGCAGGAGCCAGGCCTTAAGGAGCGCTGTTGACTAACAGGTCTGATGCAGCAGCTTTCACTACTGGTGGAAATCGATGTTTTCTCCTTGAAAGTCTAGCTTTTTAATTTCAGTAAACCAAATGAGATCATGTACGTAAAAGCACTTTGTAAACTGCTGTGCTCCAGAAAAGGCATGAATGGCCCACTCTCATCTCTACCTTCTAACTGGCAAAAATGATTGAGCTCACTTTCAAGGATGAGAGAGAAAAGAAATCAAAAGACAAAAATGAGGTGAGCACACAGGCACTTCCCCTGTGCACCTCTGTTACTGGCCCTGTCCTCTCTCGAGCAAGAGCAGATCTCGTTCCGTTAGCTTTAAGCTCCTGCTCCTCGCTTAGGGACACACAGGACAAAGATGTGTTGAAATAGACTCTGCTTTATTCAGGTAGCAAAACGTTAGGAATCACACATGGTTTTTAAAACTCCCTTTAATCTTTGAAAATGGAGGAGAGAGCATCCCCGGGCCAGTCACACTTAAGTGTACCTGGCTAAGCAGACAACTGTATGAGGGAGCTGCCCCTCCACGCTGTCCTGATAGGTACTTAGCACCCTAGAAACTCACCCTCTGCAGGAGAGAGAAGCAAAGGTCTGGAGCGAGGTCACACACTCTAAGGTATCTTCCAGGATAGGGGGCTCCCTCACCCCCACCTGGAGTCACTGTGGCTATTGGGATCAAACTACCAGTTACATGCTGGTTACTTGGAATGTCAGACCCAGTGGGCACCAGTCATCAGGGAGAGGGAGGGGAAATGCCAGGACATGTACATAAGGATGCTGTTAAGACCACATGGAAGGAGGAGGATGGCGGCGGCACTGGGACTCTAGCCAATGCCAGAGTGTGTGCTCCCTCTACCCCTAGAGCCCTTGTGAGGCATAAACAGGAAGCCTCTCCAACAAGGAGGTCTCCAGGCAGCCTCCAAACCATGCAAAGGGGCCGGCCCGGGCCAGGGACATCTGGTAAGGATGCTCACTGTGTTTCCATGGGGGTCCTGAACGGGGAAGTTCAGGAATGAGATGGCAGCCACTTTCTTCCTTCTTTGCCATTAGCTGACAAAGGGGAATGAGGCAGGCCCACGCCCCTCGAGAAATTGGGCAGTGCAAACTCTATGACAAACAGCATTTTCAGTGGCCCCGCTGTAAGGGGACCCACTTTCCCACCACCTAAGGCAGGCATTGGACAGTGTCCTCGGAGCATGTGGATGCTGACGTGGAGAGGGCAGTGCTCCCCTGCCTTCCACCTCAGCTCCAGAACTGCTCCCACAGAGACCCACCCACGGCTGCTCACAGGATGGCCTCGTGCTCTGTGGGATTCTTCAAGGATGAAGAGGCCGTGGGAAGCATGTGTGCTGGAACAGCACTTTGGTGCGGAATCCTGGTGCGTAGGCGGAGGCTCCAGCCCCAGCTAAAAAAGCCTTTCTCCCTCCCCTTCCACCAATTCACATCCACAGTGCCTGACCTGGGCAAGCTCCTCAACCCCCATGGAGACGGTGATGGGGAGAGGAAGGTGTGGACGTCTCGGCCACACAGATAGTAACATCACGTAGAGCTCCTGCACCACAGGCCTGGGGGGTCCCCTCTGACCGCCAGACCCTGAGGGCTGGGAGACGTTGCCACAAGTCAAAGGCAGAAAGCAAGAAAGGAATTACTGACTAGAGCCAAAAACAACAGGAAAGCAACAGTGCTAGAGCTGAGTGCTGGGGTGGGGATAGAAGGGCATGTTGGGTACTAGGGCGCCCGTGGCACTGGGGAGGTACATGGACACCAGCATCCATCCTGGGAATGGGAAAGATACTCAGGTACTTGGATGCCAGCACCGACCCTGGGAATGGAAAAGGTACTGGGGTACTTAGATGCCAGCATCTACCCTGGGAATGGAAAAGGTACTCAGGTACTCGGATGCCAGCATCAACCCTGGGAATGGGTACTTGGACACCAGCATCTACCCTGGAAATGGGAAGCAGCAGACTATGGAGAAGGCCCCACCCACAGGGGCCTGCAGCATGGCACAGGACCTGCCTGAGCCAGGCAGCAAGCAAGCTGGGATGGACGGCACCTACTTCCTGCCTGTTTAAAACAAGGTGAGGAGGGTGTGAACCTCGCAGTGCCAGGAGCCCCTCTGTCCCTCTAGGGCAGCGGTTCTGAAGCTGGAGCAGGCCCACAGTCCCTGGAGGAGCTTGTTCAAAGCCCCCGTCCCTGAGCTCCCATCCGGGGATGCCTCAGTGGGCCCTGGCGATCCTGGTAGAGTCCCCAGGGCAACTTAGAGAAGAGTGGACTAGCCTGTTGTGCAGATGGTGCATTCAGAGAGCAACTCCTACAAGGGCTTTGGAGACAAATTTCTACCTGTCCCACTAAGGACGAGGCCAGGGCAGAAGGCAGCTAAGTCCACACTGCAGCCAGAGGTCTTTCAGAGAGCTTGAGGCTCTCACTCACTAATCCTAGGGCAGATGGGGAGTCAGCAGGCACTTGGATTCTCTGCTGCCAATTCATGGGGAGGGAAACTCAGGCACAGAAAAGCGGAAGGGATTAATCAGACCACTGCCTGCGGCAGAGCTGGGGCTGCATCCCAAGCCTCCCAACTCCAGCTTGGACCCATCCTCTGGTGAGGAAACCCGGCCAGGCATGCTTCGGGTCAGACGGGGCTTGGCAATACGGGAAGCGCCAGGCCCCCTGCCAGGAGAGCCCCAGCTCCACCATCTGGAGCTGCAGGAAGAGAACCTTTCTTGGGTGTTGTGTGCAAAGGGCTTGTGATTTTTTTCATCCTAAAGGAAGCCCTGGGAAGAGGTAGAGTTCCCTGCCAGATCGAGGCCTCACTGCTTCTGCTGCAGGAGCCAGGGTGGGAAGTCGCAGAGCTAAGCCTCTGGGGCCAGGCCAGCTGTCCCTGGAGCAGTGGGTCAGCCTCCACCTCTAACAAACTGGCCTTTCCCTCCTCCCACTTAGGCTGTGGGCAGCCTCCCTGGAACATTCCCCAGGGATGTCCAACAGTCTCCACACCACAACAGTCCTCTTGCCACCACAATAGGGGCTGAAACCTTTCATGATGGGATTATTTTCTGGAGCACCTTAAAAACAAACTTGCGGTAAGAACCTTCTGGCACACTTGCGTGAGGCATGGCTGTGCTGAGCGGGGTCTCAGGAAACAGGTCATGCACCTCCTAATGCCCCTGCCGCTCCAGACGCCACTGCCCACTTCCTGCTGCTCAGAGAGCATCCCTGCCAGTGGGAGAGCTGAGAGCAGTCTAGGTCCTGCAGAACCGTCCCCGTGATCAAGGACTCCCTGTCCCTCAGGACATGCTGGGGGCCTCCTGGCTGCTGTGGGGGTACAGCAGGCTCTCGGGAGGCGCCATGATGCAGTCCTTCAGTACCTCCACTGCTTCCCTGGAAGGCAGGGTGGGTGGCTTCTGGGTCCCGGACCCCTCCGCATATAGGGCTCCCATCTGCCCCTTCCTGAGCCTGGCGCCTGTGATGGAGGAAGAAGAAGGCAATTAGACCAACCTACAGAGACCATCTTCCACATCCAACTTCTCCCAGGGGCTGTCTGGTGAAGAAAGCTTGGCAGAACAGACTGGAGACGGGACCGCTACTGCTCACTGCAGCTCCCTTCTATGCCTGCTCTGCTCATTCTTTCCTCCTAAGACAAGGGGTCTCAGCTGGGGGTGATTTTGTCCCCCAGGGGCCATCTGGCAATGTCTGGAGATGATTTTCGTTGTCACAAGACGGGGGTATGCTACTGGTATCCAGTGGGTACCTAACAGGTAGAGGCCAGGGATGCTGCTCAAGTTCCCACCATGAACGGGAGGGGCCCCAGCCGAGAACCCCCCCCAATGGCAGCGGTGCCAAGGCTGAGAGCCCTGCCTGGAAGGAGGCCTCAGCGTGCAGTCAGATAGTGTTTGGACCGATCTGTGCTGGTCCCATTGTCCCTGTGGAAAGAGTAACCTGCACAAGTGCACACCTGTCATCCTCTTTTTCTCCTTCACACCCACAGGGCTGGACACACAGCAACTTCCTCAACAAACGCCCAGGTGATGGGCTAGCCCAGCCCTCCCGCTTGGCTCTCCCTGTCTCTTATCAGTGAGGGGTCTCTTCTCCTCCCTACCTGCCCTGCTGTGGCTCCAGGGCCACCCTGCTTCCTACAGAGAGCCCCTGTCAACCCTGAGACCCAGTCCCTTTTCTGATGGCCACAGACTCAGAGGTGAAAGCTGGAGCAGCACCAGCTGGAAGGAGACCAGCTAGAGACGCCGGGAGAGGGAACACTGCTCCGTCCTTGTCAGGTGGCCGTGAGTGGTGTGCAGAACCCCAACGGCTCGCATCTTTGCTTTGGTTTTCTTTTTTATCATTATTATTATTTTCCCCACCGCAAAAAAAGAATGTGTTTCATCTATGGTTTTCAAAAGACTACTTGAAGAGAGAAAATTTCCTGTCTATGGCTTTCAGTGACTTGCCCTCCCTTCTAATACCGCTTCCCCCTCAAGCAAGTCCCTGGCCCAAGCCCCCCGCTCCAGCGAGGCTGTTTTTGCTCTCCCCTGCCCTGTGCAATTCCTGCCTGAAAGCCTCACCATCTCCTCTACATCTCAGCTCCTCCACAGCCAGGCTGACCTCTTCCCTCTCGAGAGTCCCGCACAGCCGAGTCTACACAGCCCACTTAGAATGTGATGGCGCTGCCTGGGGCTGGTCACCCTCTCCTATTCCCAGCAGTGGTCTTGACCTTTAACTAGTACCATCTGCACCACCTGCCAGGCACTGTCCTGAGTGCTTTCCAGGTACAACTCACTCGGCAGATGAGAAACTAAGGCATAAAGGGACAGATTTGCCCAAGGCCACACAGCTAGGTGGGGGCAGAGACAGCACAGCAGTCACCAGGGCAGACAGGCTCTGGAAATGCACACTCTGCACTAAGCCCTGCTACCTAGAGCACATGTGTGTCATATCCCTGGCAGGGGCGCAAACTCCTGGTACTAGACGTCACGCGTCTAGTACCCACTGGCCTAGCAAATGGGTGGGCTCGTGACAGACGCTCCATAGGGATCCGCAGTCCTGTCTTGTTGGCCTGTGGCTCAGCATGGGGCTGGAGGGCAAGATTCCCTGACTTGGGGGAGTTCGGCTACTTACCTGCAGGGGAGTGGGCTGGCACCTGGGTGCAGGCATAGACGTGGCTGAAACGCCGGCCTGAGGAGGTCAGGTACCAGTGCTGGATGGCGGGCTGGGGGTCGTACTCTGTGACGGCCACGCCGTTCACAGCCGTCATCATGAGCATGTTGAGCACCTCGCTGGAGAGCTTGGTCCTCTCATCAGTCCTGATCCGGTTCATGGCCTTGAACCCCCGCTCACAGCAGGAGGTAGAGACGGGCACACAGACCACCACGGCCATGAGCTTGCTCAGCAGGGGGAAACGGTAGTGCTGGGTCAGGGCATTTTTGCAGAGCATGGAGAACGGGAGGTGCTGGGTGATGGCTTTCAGGCCCAGCCACTCCTCCAGCAGAGCCTCCTCATTGTATCCTGCTGGGAGGGAGTGCTCAAAATACCTGGCCAGGGTGAGAATGTCATCATTCCCAAAACTGGCAAGTTCGATCCCGTTCGGCCAGGCCATGGTGTCAAACACCTCCATGTTCTTGAGCTGTGGCGGTCGATCTGCACTGAACCTCTGCTGGAGGTACTCTATTCCCGTCAGGACCATTCTCTCCCTGTCTACCTGGAACCGCTGTTCCGCTACCTCCGGTCTGTCCAAGCAGATGCCGTGGAGCCGCCCGTCCTTGAAGCTGGTGTTGAATTCTTCCTCTTTGGGCCCCGCCTGGTGACGGAGGCTCTCCAGGGCCACGTAGGCCCGGCCCAGCGTGGCGTTCACCTCTGTAATCAGCACGATCTCCCTCTGGCACACCTCAGACAGAGGCCTGTAGATGCTCAGGAAGTCCAACAGGAAGTGGCAGAACTTGACGAAGTGGAAACCACGCATGAGCTTCAGCATCCCCTTGGCCCGGTGCCCAATCTGGCCCCCAGCCTCCGCCACGCTCTGGAGGTGCCTGGCTAGTGCGGGCCAGCTCGCGAGCAGGGCGTGCAGTGTGCGCCTCCTGCTGGCCACCCACCTCACGGCGTTCAGGTCCTTCAGGCGGAGGATCTCCTGCTCCAGAGCTGCTGCACCTTCCTGCAGCTCGTTCAGCCTCTTGTTTGAGGACTGATAAAACTTGAAGATGGTGCGGATGTGCCGGTCGCACTTCCTCACCAGGTCGATGCTCCCACAGGCGTCCACCACGGCCAGGTGCAGCTGGTGGGCCACGCAGTGGATAGGCAGCAGCTGCGGGATGACCTCCTGGAACTTCTCCACAAGGCCTCCTCTGCAGCTCAACATGGCTGAGCCATCAGTCCCCAGCCCCACCACCCAGCCAGGCTTCCGGAAGGGGATGTCCAGCTCATCCAGGGCAGAAACGATGGTCTCGAAGTACCCATCTGCTGTCTCACTGTAGAGAGGGGCCAGAGTGATATAGGACTCCTTCACCTCCATCTGCTTAAAGTAGCGGATATAAATCCCCACACAGGCCTGCTCGGAGGCGTCGGTGGAGCTGTCCAGCAGCACACTCACGCAGGGAGACTTGCGCACGTCCTCCAGGATCTCCCTCTTCAGCGTCTCGGAGATGTACTTGATGAACTGAGTGCATGCTGTGCGATTGCGGTACTTGCCCAGTATCATGGTCCCAGTGCTCTGGAGGAGCTTTAGGATCTTCTCAAAGTCATTCAGGGGCCTTGAGTGGTATGCGATGGAGTAGGCAGCATTGAAAAAGTGCTCCATGTTGGCCATGAGGTCACTGGAGATCTCCGGAATGAGGGCAGTCTGAGGGGCATCTTCCTTGATTTCAACTGTGTTGACACAGAGCCTATGCGCTTTGCTGACTTCATGGTATTTTAAAGTCTCCACTTTAAAAGGCCCCGTGTAACCTCTGACTAACCGAGATGATTTGTCGTGGAGATTAGGTCTTTCTTTGCAGGCTGAGCAGAAGAGCTTGGTCTCTTTGGGGTCAACTACCAACCATGGGAACTGCCCAAACCATGACCTCTGAATGGAACGGGGCCTGTACGTCCTCTTGATTCTCCTAGGTCCATCTCCGTCTCCTTCACAAAAGCCGGCACTGCAGCAGGAGGCATGGGCCTCCACGGGAGAGGCTGGAAGCAGCACGGAGTCCGCAGCCAAGACCTGTGTGTCCACCTCTCTCACTGCCACCATCTTCTTGTTCCCTTTGGGAAAATTCAATCATGCTTGGTTCTGCTACCCAGAACTCTGCAGTCGTCTATCAGCTAAGACACCCCCAAATTAGTAAGTATCCATTAAGCAAAGCAGAGAGGATGAATGCAGTCCTTCTTTCTAGAGATCATTACTGGTGTCCACTTAAACCCTCTCCTATTCTTATCTGGGAAAGTCAATCTGGCTCCCCCAGAGTTGTTGCTAATCCTTGTGGGTTCTTTCACCAGCACCTGCACCACCCTATCCATGCAGCTACCCTGGGATCATGTGACACCAGATGCCAATAAGCTCAATTAACCGCCTTGGGGACATAGGGGCTGTCGGATAAGCAGGTGGCTTTCAGCCTCCTGTGAGGCTCCACAATGGAACAGGTTAAACACCTGCCAAGGCTTCTTATGCACCTCAGAAAGAAGTAGGTCCAGAACTATGTGCAGCAGCTACAAGCAAAGACGTTACTGATTGAGTGAGACACGCAAGACAACGAATTCTCACAAAAACGGTGCTGTCACTGAGCACAGAGGAGGAGGGAGAAGGGATGAGAGGCTCACAGACCTCTGGGTCCCCTGGCTCCTTGAGACCAGTGTCCCCACGGACCTGCTCCCACCAGCTCTGCCACAGCCCCTATCAGCCCTTCTTACAAAAGGACCTGTTGTTTCCCAGTTTCACAGACTACTCTGCACTCTGTGGGCAGGGTTCATTGCTTATTCATCTTGTCTGCCCAGGGCTTCCTGCCAGGCTTGGTGCCCTATCGGCCCCAGTTTGATGAGCACAGCTGAACTCATGCTGTGTGACTCATCATGGCCACCCTGGCACGTGCCCTTCAGAACGCTATAGGTTTAGACTCACCTGGAGGACGACCTTTCCCCCACTTTGGCCCATTTGGGTCCTTGATCCAGGGTGCAGCCCTCCGCTCCAGTTTGGAGATCAAGTCCGGCTTGGCAGCAGCAGGTCCTGTTGCAGAGATGAAGAATCATGCTGATGTCACTGCTGAGGCCAAGTTGAGTAGCCCCCTCAAGCTAAACTCGGCCCCTGAAATACAGAGGTGTCTCGCATTCTTTCCTTAAAATGCCTGGTGGGCTGGGGTAGGCTGAGCGCACACCCGGGGTGCCAAAGAGGCAGTCAGGGGAGGGGCATGCCTCTGCTATGATGGGACTTCCTCAGACCCACAGGCCAGCCCCGGGAGTCACAGTCCAGCCATACACACCAGAGTGGGAAGGGTGGAAACAGGAAGAAACACAGGGACTAAGCAGGAGAGAGAAGGCAGTTGCGGGGCGGGGGGGTGGGGGGGGTTGGTGCAGCCACATCAGAAGTGGAAGGTGCCACCCACAGCTGGCCCACCCATGTGCCCCCATCACAGCTGGCCTTTGTACAGGTGACCAACTACATAGGTTTTTGAAATGGGCACATGGAGGGCCCCCCAAAATATCTACCACCTGCAATGGAGCCTGAAATCTGACTAAAAGAGTTTTGCGTCTTTGGATTAAGCACTTTACTTAAATAGAAATATTGTTCAGGGGTATGCGAATAAACCGTTTCCTCTATTGAAAATAAAATCCATCACTATCTACATCATGCTTTTGTGTGTGTCTATGTGACTATGTGCATAAACTTTCTGTGGAAGGCCACACAAGCAACCGGGCCTATGGGTGCTCCCGGGAGGAAGTGAAGGGCAAAGGGAAAGGGAGGTTGGTTTCCACTACTTATCTTTGGATCACTTGAATATCTTTATATATATAATGATACGTGTGTGTGTGTGAGAATATCTACATATTTATTACTAATAAAAATAAAAAGTAAATTACTAAAGTGTGTTAGATTGAACATATATCCTCCTTAAAATGTCTCTAAATGAGATATTTAGAGACATTTTAAGGAGGATATATGCAAAGGAATAATAACAACAAAATGAGGCATAAGCCCAAGAGAAAAATTGGAGCTTCCAATTTTGGAAGAAGGAAAGGAGACAAAAGAGAAACGAACAGAGCTGAACACCAAGTGCCTGCAGAGGGGTTAACAAGGAGAATCAAGTTGGTTAGTACCACAGAATCCCAGAAAGATTCAGAAACTGCAGGCACCAGGTGCAGGAGAAGGTGGTGGGTGGGGAATGGGCAGGAGCAGGGGACTGGCTCAAAGTCTGCACAGAAATCTGCTGAATCCCCGGTCCCCTCACCTGTTCCAGGAAACAGCACTGCCACACCCCAGAGGAGAAGAGAGGCTTAGTCTACAGAAAAACTTACCCAGAAAAGCTTCAGATCCCAGAAACCACATACAGGGAAAGGTGAAGGGGCGGTATGGTACTGAAAGCAGGGAGATCGAGTCGCCTCTATGGACTGAGGGCTGCACTGCTCGACTCCAAGAATGCCGGCTGGGCTTATCACACCCTCCAAACAGGAAACGGGAAGTGTTTTCTTTAGAAAAATGGAATGGCCCTTCTCTCTCCCCTCAAAAGATCTATGGATACTGACTTTTGTGGGTTCTTTAGTAAGACATCTGGGTTTACAGCTGATCACCCTACAGTGAAAAGTAGAACCTACTCTTGATCTTCCCAGCCATGCACAGAGCTTCCAGTCAGTTTTTAAAGGCTTACTCTTACACAGGAATGAACCTAGAAATAATTATTTAAGAAAAGCTTCTAACATAAAAGAGAGAAACCAAAACAAGTAGGAAAAAGTTTGGAAGAACTTGAGATAGAGCAAGGAGCAAAACAAAACTTCCAAATAATGAGAATTAATATTGCCAGTGAGAAAAGTGATGACAGCCATTCATGAAAGAGGCAATAAAAGTTTTAGAAACTAAAAACCCACTAGAATAAAAAAATTAAAAACTCAATAATAAATAGAATTGTTAGAAAATAAAATGGAGGAAATGTCCAAGAAAGTAGTATAGAAAATATAAAAGCAGAAAATAGGAGAAAAAGATATAAACAGAAAACCAGAGGCTCAATCCAGGAAGTCAATATCAAACTAATAGGAAGGAGTTTCTGGAAGAAAGAAAAGAGAAAATAGATAGGAAGAAATCATACAAGAAAATTTCCCCAAACAGGAATAAGACAAGTTTCTACATGGAAGGGAAATACCAGATACCCAAAACAAAAGATTTAAAACACACTTTATATAAAACATCAAGGCACATCATTACAAATTTGAGAAAATCAAAATCAATTTCAAAAGCTTTCTGAGTAAAACAAATAGGTCATGTTCAAAGATTCTGGAATACGAAGGCACTAGAGCTCTCAACAGCACCAGTAAAACCTAAAGGGGCAATGCTTTCAAAACACTGAGGAAAAGTATTTCCAACCAAGAATCTTATGTCCAACCAAGTTATCACTGAATCGTGAGGGAAGAATATGGGTGTTTTTGAGGGAATGTGTTCGCTTTCAAGGTCCACAAGGGGGCGTAGTTTCTAGGGCAAGAACTTCCCAGCACCATGCCCCTCTCCCATCTCTCTCCATCTAAGAGATTTAACAGTTTATGTTTAAATTTCGAGGGCAGGGGAAGAAACTAAGAGTCAATCACCCCAGTGGAAGTTCTAAGGAACTCCTTTCATTGGCCAGGCGTCTTAGAGAAGGTGGGGGGCTCCTCCTAGGTTAAAAGTCCCCTTCTCCCACACCCCTTTGGACTCCATGTTTGGGTCCCCTTCCACAAACACTCTGTCGTGGAAGCTGTTTTTCCTCTCCTAAGCTGCATGTGTCTCTCTCAGTGTGGAAGCTGCTTTCCTCTCCTGGGTTCCATCTTTCTGGATTCTCCCACTCCGTGTGAGAGGAGCTTTCCTTCTCTGGTTTTCCCACTCTGGGAACCCTTCTCACTCAGTGTGGGAAAGGCTTTTCTTTCTCTCACTCAGTGTGAGACTTAGCTGTTTCTTTCTCTCTCCTTCTCCTTTTTCTCTCTCTACCTAAATAAAATCACTTTCTACAACACTTCTTAAGTCCGGCATTTACTGTGCACTGTGCCATGGTCTCCTCACTCATTCTTGGGGAGTGATTGGCCAAGAACCTGCAGAAATGTCCTCTGAGGGGAACTGAGGGGGTACCCCTGAACCCCAATATTACATTCTTAGATAGGCTGCATCACAGAAGGCCTCCCCTGCACCCTTCCTTAGGAAGCCACTGGAAAATGTGCACTAACAAAATGAAGACATCAACCACGAAAGATGAGACAGACTCAGGAAACGGGGGAGACAGGGGCACATCTCAGGCCACAGGTGTGCTGCAAGCCTAAAGGCACCTAGGTTAGACAGAGCAGGGGAGGGGAAGGCTCTGTGAGCGAAGTCTCCAGAGAAAGAATGAAACGGAGAGGTCACAGGATGTCCGGTCACGGGGAAAAGCCTCTTCAGAGGAGTTTTATAATTCCACTGGAGAGTCTGGAAGGAATTGATGAGGGCACAGTAAGTGAGAAAAATAAAAAAGAAGAAAAGATTTTCCAATTCCAGGGGGAAGGGTCCTACAGCGCAGGAAATACCATCACACTACACCCCCTTGTTCAACAGCAAATCACACATCATCATAACTGGGCAAATAATTTATACTAATTTAACCAAAAAAGTGTGATGTACCTGTTCTGAGAGGATGGAGAGAAGAGAAGTGGGGCCCAGGTGATGTAACAGGGCCGTATCTCCATCTTCCACAGTAGGAATCAATACAGAGTATCTAAAATCAATAAAGCGGGAATACAATAAACACAAGCAACAGGCTGTGAAAGTGTGATTCTGCCTGCTCTGGCAAAGCCCCCCAAAGTAGGAGCCAGCTCTTCCGAGTTCCAAAGCCGGACACGGACATCTGACCTGGAAAGAGAATGGCTGAGGGCCCAGTGTGGGGGTGGGGGGGGAGTGGCTCTAGCCCGCACCCATAAGGAAGAGTCACACAGCTGAGACTGAGGAAGCCAGGAAGTAGGGCACCAGGGATGTTTCTGGAAAGCGTTGTCAAGGGTATTGTGAGCCTCTCTCCCTGACTATGGGGAGCAGTGGGAGCAGTGGGTGCGCCCTTTCCCCTAACCTGACCTGTATCGCTGGAAGCTGTGAGCAGCCATGAGTTCAGGCCTGGTTACCCCTTTAGTCTTATGACTAAAGCAGCCACAGGCTGCCGGTGCCTTGGAGGAGGCCGTATCGGGAACGGCCCACACTCCAGGTCTGTCAGAGCACAGGGTCTGAAGATGCTTCCATGGTTCAGATGTGGGCTACACAGGAAATGAGAAGAGGCCTGGTGTTGTCTGTGGGGCCTGCTCACGGCGGCTGGCTACTGCTCTGATGCTCCCCTGTGAAGGAATCTACATGGGACAGGCTGCCAGGGCAGACGTTTACCCATGTCCATTCAACTGCAAGCAAGAGGATCCCAGGGCCTGTGGGGGGTATTGCGGAACCCACAAACACGCCCAAAGAACCAGCTTTAAAGGACCACAGCTCTTATTAAGTGGCTGGTGTCAGATTATGTGTCAAGTGAAACCTTTCTTTCACCTCCCCCACCCACCCATCATGCCATTCCCACCGAGGATGAGTCAGAAATTCTGAAACCAGCAGGGGTGGGAGAAGAGGAGCCCTTCTTCCTATGGCAGGGGTCCAGATTCTATAGCTGCAGCAGGTTGAGGCTGGTAAGGCAAGAATTGAGTGTTAAATGGAGTCCAGATTTTCTACTACTACACAGAGACTGCGCTTTTGTTTCCTAAATTTTCCTTTTGGTAAATTTTAGATACAATGTCAAATTTACAGAGAAGATCGAATAATACAAGGAACTCCAATTGCTGACATCTCGCCCCATGTGTTCCAGCAGGCTTGTGAGCTCACAGGCACACGCTCTTGCTGGGTCCACACATATCACTACAATATTTTTCTGAACCATTTGAGAGTAAATTGCTTGCATGCCACTTTTTTCCTAAATACTTTGTATTACCCAACAAAAAGGACCCTCAAATAGGTGGTAGGCAGGATTCGAACATGGGCTCCAGGGCCATGGCCCTGGCCTGACCCCTTTCCCTTGAGGTGAGGGAATGCTGAACAGGATGAGAGGTCATGCTGTCATCACATTACCTTGCACAGCAAAGGGAGATTAGCAGGTGGACCCGACCTAATTACACAGCTCTTTCAAAGCAGGGGCTGTTCTCAGCTGGCAAGTCAGAGCCTCAAGGCACATGACGATTCCACACTGCGGCCAGCCTGAGCATGGAGCGGCCATAGGGAAGCACCCAAGGGCAGCCCCTGGGCTGAAAATGCTCCTGCTGACAGGCAGCAAGGGAACGGCAAGGAGCTAGGTTCTGGCAACAGTCTAAGTGAGCTCAGAGCCTACAGACAGGAGCCTGCCTGGCCAGCCCCTTGGTTTGGGCTAAGATTCTAAGCAGAGAACCTGATCAGGCCCACCTGGACTCCTGACCTGCAGAGCTGTGAGGTAATACATAAGTCTGCAGTCATTTGAAATGGGGCAGCAGAAAGCAAAGGTATCTTATACAACCAGAGTTACAATGATCAAAACCAGGAAGCTCAACACCAATATCATAGTATTATCTAATCTACAGTCCACACTAAATTTCTCCCCTTGTCTCCAAAATGTCTCTACAGCCCAGCATCTGTCCCAGCAGCATGCACTCAAGTTGTCACACCTCTTCAGTCTCCTTGAATTGTGGCAGTTTGCCAGGCTTTCTCTGTCTTTTTTGGATCAGGACACTTTTGAAGAGCTTTGTACTGGGCATTACACTCATTGAAATTAGACCAGGAAGATTTTATGTTATCTGAGAGTGACAAGAAAAAGTTCTGGGCCCTGCCTAGATTTAACCCAGAGGGTGAGAAAGAAAGGGGCCCCAGGGCTGACATGCTCAGATGTGAGCTGGAGGATGCAGCTGTTTCATGAGCACATCCTGCGGAGTCCATCGCTTCTAAGATTATGTCCACATACGTTATTTAGAAATAATGCAGCAAATTACTGGAAGAAACAGCTACAAGTTTCTGGGGAAGAGGACTTCATAAAAGAGAAAGGTGGGACAGGGGACTGTCATTTTTCTTTTTTTTGAGATGGAGTCTCACTCTGTCGTCCAGGCTAGAGTGCAGTTGTGCAATCTCGGCTTACCGCAACCTCTACCTACCGGGTTCAAGAGATTCTCCTCCCTCAGCCTCCCAAGTAGCTGGAACTACAGGCACACGCCACCATGCCCAGCTAATTTTTGTATTTTTAGTGGAGATGGGCTTTCACCATGCTAGCCAAGCTGGTCTTGAACTCCTGACCTCATGATCCACCCACCTCAGCCTCCCAAAGTGCTGGGATTACAGGTGTGGGCCACCGCGCCCGGCCAGTTTTGTGTTCTATTTACAAAAAATAATTAAATGATAATGCAAAATAATATTTGGTTTTCAACTCCTAAAGCGTTTGTTATGGAGGGTAAAGTTACGGGAAATTAAAAAAGAAAAACTAGCCAAAGTAAAAATAATAATAATAACAATTAGAGAATCTCCACTATGTTTCAACACTACTTTATAACCCAGTTGTTGGCTTGATGCCTTTTAAAAGGTCACTTTTAAACATACAAATAGCTTATGCCAGGCCCTGCCTGTAGTCTCCAGGCTCCTGAAGATGCTTTTATATCTCAAACACGAAGAACTGCTGAAACTGGGGGATAAAGGATAACCAGAGACCCAATTAAAGTAACTGAAAGGAATCACACACGTGCAACTCAATTTCTAGACTCCTACACCTGTCTAAATTTCACGGACAACCCGAGACACCAGGCCCACCCCTAGAAAGCCTGTCTGATTCCTGCCTCTGACCCTCAAGGAAAACGAGTTCCCTTCCCTCTGATGACATTTTATGTTCATCCAAATAAAACTTAAAGACTTTAATTTCCCTAGTTAGCTAAGATTTCCCTACTGCCTAATTTATGTACATGAAAAAGAAAATGATAAAATGTTTAGAGCATGCTCTCTCGAAACACAAAGCCTGAAGGAATGGGCACAGGCTAAACAATCCTGGCCAGCTCTCCCTGCGTGCCTGGTACTTTCACCATCGTCCAGGGGCTTCAGAGGGAAACAGAGTCGCCAGTGCCCATTACTTTAAAAGAAAACCAAACTTTTTGTAAGAGGGTACCCATTTTTAAAAGAGGTGTCAATTTTGCCCTCACTCTCACTGCTTTTCAGCACGGCAGGGGCAGTGATGCTCTTTGAACGGAAACTCCTAACCTAGGGCACGATAGCAAAACCTGTCACCACAAAATAAATAATTCAAGTCACTTTCTGAATGTCTGGGGAGCCATTTAAAAATTATCAACAATGGTAAAAACATGTATGTAAGTCAAGAATGTTTAGAAAATAATCCAGATCTTAGCTGCACCTGAAAGAGCGGTAACACGAGGGGCTATGACATCAATCAAGTCACAAACTTTCTTATTTCCTGTTTTGCAGAAGTCACAACACAGGCTGCTGGAACTCCTAAGGCACCTACAACAGCCTGTTGTACAAGGTTTCCGTTATCATGTATGTTAGTAAAGAAATACGTAAAAGCTGTGTAAGATGAAGAGTTGGCCAGGTGTGCTGGCTCACGCCTATAATCCTAGCACTTTGAGAGGCTGGGGAGGGGAGGGGGTGGATCACCTGAGGTCAGAAGTTGGAGACCAGCCTGGCCAACAGAGTGAAACCCCGTCTCTACTAAAAATACAAAAATTAGCCAGGTATGGTGGCGCACACCTGTAGTCCCAGCTACTTGGGAGGCTGAGGCAGGAGAATTGCTTAAACCCGGGAGGCAGAGGTTGCAGTGAACCAGCATCATGCCACTGTACTTCAGCTTGGGTGACAGAGCGAGACCCTGTCTCCAAAAAAAAAGTTGTATTTCCATCTTGGTGCTTCATAAGAACCTTGCTGATCTGCCAGAAAGAGGCAAAGAGAAGATCAAACAGCAGATGCAGGAGAGGACAGCACTATCCTGAGTAATAAGCACTGCCCTCTTTCTACTCCAAGGTCCAAACCCCATGCCCCCCGTCCTGAAGGCTGCCCTTGCTGGCACCTGGCCCGAATGCAGGAGCCTCAGCCCTGAGCTGCACAGATAGGGGTGGCTCTGCCAGGCCATCCCCGCCATCATGGGTCAATGCCCTTCCTCCTTTTGGTCCACCTGGTTTTGAACTCAAGTAAAACATTTCCTACTCTATAAAGGCTTCCTGATCCCTCCCGCCAACACCGAGGAAATCAAATCTCTCTTTATCAGTAGCACTGGTTACTCTTCTGGAAGCTCTTTTGTGGGAGACTGTATTATTTTATGTTTTCTTATTAAAATGTCTGTCTCTCCCACAAATGCGCTAGGTCCTTGGAAGCAGAGACGTGGCTTGGCCGTGCTCATCTGGCACATAGGAGGTACTCCAAAATGTCTGGTGAGGGACAAATGGATGGACAGGTGGGTGGATGAGAAGGTGATAAAGCACAGTTACCCCAAGCAGGGGAGTTCTGAGGTGCAAAGACAGGATTGGTCTCTGCCTATGCATGGGAGGGCAGGGATGGGAAGATAACCACAAGCCCCAGCTGTCTTTGTGGGCTTCCTGAGTCAAATGAGGATGGCGAATAAGAGTCTCAGTGCGTCTTTACCCAGGGATGCCATCAGCTCGTAGTTCATCCGCATCACGTCCCTGTACAGCTCCTTCTGCCGCTTGTCTAGCATGCCCCACTCCTCCCGGGTGAAATACACCGCCACATCCTCGAACACTACTGGCAGCTCCGCAAACACCACAGGAACCTCCTCCGACAGCCGCTCTGCAGAAGGGTCCTGGAACAAAGAGCAGCGGCCGCTCAGCACCACTTGACGAGCCAGGCGCCCACGCGACACTTCTGGGGCCTTCGGAGCCCCATTTCTCCTGGGAAGCTCACCAAGAGGCCCAGATGCACTTGGAGGAATTAATTTATACATTGAAAGTCAAAGAATCAAATTCAGGAGGCCCAGAATCAGTAGGTAAAAACCAAGTGAGACTCGGTCAGACCCCAGAATCCCCTGGGCGGAAAGAAAGTGTGTGGAAAGAATGGGCAGCCGGGCAGAGCGTCTGACTGCATGCTGTCGCCAGTCCTGAGAGCTGCCTTCTGTTCACTACAACTAAAAGGTGACTGTGTGCCTTCAGGAGGACCTCTAAGATTTCCCAACGGGATGCGAATGAAGAGGTGGTCAAAAAGCTAACGATGCTATGACCAGCGACTGGTTTACAATGCCTCACTGCTAAAGGAGTTCAGATGATAAAAGGTTACATCTGTTCATTCGCTTCTAATACTAAAAAATATCAGGAACAGGAAAAGAAATGAGCTATGCTGTTTTTCTGGATTTTGGAAAATTGAGAATTTACAAACTTGAGCCGGATTCCTTATGATGTCAGCTCAAGGAGGAACCTCCGAGCTATTCTCATGGGACTCCTGGAGGGGAGTTAAAAATGATTTGTTGCAAAATTCTACTTCTATGCAACAGGTGAGAACTGGAGAAGCTTCCAATGAACATAGTTTCCTTAGAGGACAACTTCCCAAAGCATTCAGTAACTACAAAGGAACCCTTAGGTGGGCACTAGAGTTCTTTAGCGCCCAGCAGCGCTGCAGGGAATGGAAGGAAAGCACTGGGCTGGGAGCTCAGGACTGTGGGCAGATTCTGGCACTGACCACAGGATCGCTAGGACCCCAGACATGTCACTTCCTCCGAAGCCTCAGTTTTCTTCCAACACGATGAGTTTAATAGCACTTGCTCTACCGGCCTCGCAGCAACATTAGAAACATTACATCAAACACCACGTGTGAAAAACTGCAATGTTTAAAAGTGCAACATGACTCCAAAGTTAAAGTTAACGTTTTTAAAAATACTAGCCAGGTGTGGCATATCATACCCATAATCCTAGCATTTTGGGAGGCTGAGGTGGGAGTTTTGATTGAGCCCAAGAGTTCAAGACCAGCCTGGGCAATATAGCGAGATTCCCATCCCTACAAAAACTAAAAAATCATCCAGGTGTGGTGGCATACACCTGTAGTCCCAGCTACTTGGGAGGCTGAGTGGGAAGGATCGCTTGAGCCTCAGAGGTCAAGGCTGCAGTGAGCTATGATCACACCACAGTCCAGCCTGGGTGACAGAATGATACCCTGACTCTTAAAAAAAGTTAAATACTAAGAGCTCTGTGATTGTTTCGTGGTTGCAGCCTATTTCTTGAGATCTATGTTTATTTTAGATTCTGAATAAAGATTATTGTTTCCTTTATAACAGAAGTAGAAATGTTCTATCTCACAAAGTATGTTTTGTTATTTGCAAAAAAAGGAGATGATAGTAATAGGGTTGTTGTCCAAATTAAATGAGATAACACATGTAAAGCATCTAAAACAATGCCTCGTCCATGATACACGTTAGTATATGCTAACATTATGATGTTTGCAGTGCGTTATCACTATTATGCTTTTGTTCATCATCTCCATGGATACACATTGTTCTCAGTATAGAATCCTTCTCTGTAAGATACAGCAATCATTATAAACGTATTACCTGAATGCAGGATTCTACTGCATCATTACATAAAATACTAACATCTGAGGAGCTGTGGATGCCATCAGTGGTTTCTTTTCGCCTCAAATCTGAAATGCAGTCTAGATACATTGCAGGAATTGCTCCACTCCCCCCAGGGTCCTCTAGTTCAGCTCTTGAGCTTGGCAGGAGCTCAGCCATGCTATCAAAGCCTCCCAGAGGCCCTGGTGGGTAGAATATGGGGTAATCCACGGTGAAGAGCTGCTCCGGGCTGGCCAGGATATCTCCAGGTGGGTCTCTGATGCTCCGGAACCGGGCTGCCCAGACAGGGTCCCTTGCTGCCAAGGCATTGACGCAGAACACATGGGCCTTGCTCTTGGCGTGGTACTTGAGAGTCTCCACCTTGAATGGTCCTGTATAACCTTCTATCAGTCTTGACCGCTTGTCCCTGATGGAGGGGTATTCTCGGCAAGCAGAGCAGAACAGAGCCGTCTGCTCCTCATTTGCAATCAGCCATGGAAACTGCACAAACCATGACTTCTGTATGGATCGGGGCTTCAGGAGTTTCCTGCTTCTTCCTGCCCAGTCTCCCTCGATGTGTCCACTCCCCATACTGAGGTGGGAAAGGCAGGCTTTCTTCTGAGGTGGCAGGCACTGTCCACTCTCCTTGGTGGGACCTTGCACATCCATTTCTTCCGTGTAGCCCATCTGTTTTTTTCCTTTAGAGAAAAGGGACAGAAGGGATCTGCTTTAAAATCCTACAGTTAGAGCCACCGGGGCTGTGAGGTACATCAAACATGAAAGGCAGAAAGCATACACATACACCTGAATTTTCTTCTAGTTCCGGCCAAGTCTGCAGACCCTTCCCTCACCTAATCCAGAAGAAAGCCAAAGAGATGGCTTTACAGAACCCTCCCCGTCCCTTTTGCTCTTTGAATTTAAAGGACAGATACAACTGGCCAAAATCTTTGCAATTTAATCTGTGAAATGTAAGACAGTGGTACAATCTTCAGGAGTCAAATTTTATTTATGGATAAGAACACTGACATAATAGAATATAGGATTTAAAAAAGATCATTAAAGCCACACACTGCGACTCCAGGGGAAGAGAGTTATCTGCCTTCTGGGCAGGCAGTTTTGGTCCCCAGGTAGCTCTCCTTAAGCTGTAATCTATCTTCCAATACTTTTACATCAAAGTACTGGATGCTGACTCAGTCCTCAAGAGAAACTCAAGCCTAATTCCTCTTATACCACAACCCTTCAAAGAGATGAGGACTCTCATGACCTCACTAAGATCTTTCTTCTTCTTTACTCACTCCTTAGATGAAATGCAACTCAAAATACTGTAACTCCTGTGGAGCCATTTCTTATGCACCAAGATAAGTTCCAACGCCCAGTGGCCAAGGACTCAACATTTTTCATGCCAGGCCAACAGACTAGTCTACAAAACTGTAAGGGCATGAAGCGGTTAATAGGAGTCAGAAGGCTCAAAGTAAGAGCCAAGCAAGGAGAAATGAAATGAAACAAATTTGTCTGTATGATACTTTACAGAGTCACAAAGCTGTCTGGAGTGTCTTGTGGTCTATCTGAGAGAAATCACAAGGGAAAACAAACTTCTGTGATTTGATTCATATGGGATCTTGTTCCCCACCTCTCTCTTCTCCCACAGGAGGGGCTGGGTTAAGTCAGTTATTTTACATAATGACAAGATTGTAAAGGGCTAAGCCAAGCCCTGAACGGGAGGGTCTTATCAAAAGAGGAAAGAAAAGATAAACCCCCCAGCACTTTGAGAGGCCTAGGGGTGCCTATCATGAGATCAGGAGAACGAGACCAGTCTGGCCAACATGGTGAAACCCCATCTCTACTAAAAACACAAAAATTGGCCATGGTGGCAGGCGCCTGTAACCTCAGCTATTCAGAAGGCTGAGGCAGGAGAATCGCATGAACCCGGGTGGTGGAGTTTGTGGTGAGCCGAGGCCACGCCATGGCATTCCAGCCTGGGCGACAGATCAAGGCTCCGTCTCAAAAAAAAGGAAAAAGATAAATCCCTAGAAATTAGCAGACAGTTGTTCATTCATTCAGTGATTACCTATTGTGCAACTGCTGGGTGTCAGGTATTGTTCTAAACACTAGCAATATGGTAGTAAATAAGATAAAGTCATGTCTTCATGGAACTTATACTAATTATAAACAAATTCTCTTGGGTAGAAATAAGATGACGGGGGATGAGAGGTTGGAGAAGGACACTGGGGCAGTGTGTACATTTACATATTAATAAGCTGACTCCTGGAAGAACAGCAGTGTCAGTTGGTGGAGGACAGGAAGGGCAGAGGATGAGCCTGGAGTCCTGGGGCCGCCCCTGCTCCCTCTCCAGCCAAGTGCCCGCTCCTGGGTGCAGGTCCACACTCACCTGGGTGATGCTCCAGAAGACTCCTCTGGTCCTGGACACTGCCAAGCCATGGCTGTGGCCCTCGCCTGAACTTACAGAACAACTCAGGGTTGGCAACAGTTGGTCCTGAGTTTAAAAAAAAAAGAGAGAGAAAAGCACTATGAGGGCCTGGCTCCAGGTCACAACACGAAGGAGGTATCTGTCTGCGACTCTCTCTCAGCATGGTGACATAGGGGCCAAGGAGGAGGTAGGAGTCCTGATGGTTCGGCACAGTGGTTCAGTGGTTTAGCAACTCAGATATTTATGAGCCCCCTAACAGAACAGGGGACTAGGAGAAAGGACTGAGGGCACAGGGAAGGCTAAACAGGTATAAAAACTATGGGTTAGAAACCCAAATGCTGAGAGGGGCCAGCCTGATAATACAACAGAGGAAACCAGGCCAGGTGCAGGGGCTGTGGCAACCTGGAAGGCGTAACCCTGTGTAAGGGAACAGCAGCTGTTCACCTGCAGAAGGACTGCCACATCATCCCGTTTGCCGAGAGGTGCCAGAAATCCACATTCTTACGTGGAGACTCCCAATGACTAAATATTGGCAATTTACTTAAATATTTTTAAGAAGCCAAACAAAAGCAACAAAAGCCAAAAAACCAAACAGAACTCCAAGCAGTGAGCCATATCTGGCCCGTGAGCTGCTATTTTGCAACTTCTGGTTTGGAAGAACCAGTGGTTTTCAAACACTTTTAGCAGACCCAAGACGACTCACCCCAGCTGCAATCCTTCTATCCACAAAAGATTGGTAGGAGATTGTTGCCCCTACCATGACTTACACAGGGGCCAAAGTGAAATAAGAAAGGCATGGTAGACAGTCATCAACTTGCAATCAGCAAACAGTGCACATGTGTACACACATGCTGAAACACAACCAACCACCTTTGTCCTTGGCGCAGAAAGTCTACCCAAAGAATCAGAGGAAAGAGCATTCAAAAATTAGAAGAGATGAAAAATACCCTTACTTATGCAAAGTTTTAACTGTTTTATCTCACTAAATCTCTACAACAACCCTAAGAAGATGGAAATTAAGGCTTAAAAAAGCCAAAGGCACTCAAGTATCCAGTGGAGAGCTGGGATTGAGACCAGATTCCACATTGCAAATGCAATGCTCTTCCACCACTGCTTCTGACTCCAGCGTCCTACGCGATTCACAGATGTGCAGGCCGAGTTTCCCTCCTGGCCCCTTGGGGCATCCCGAGGCACCAGGAGACAGATCCAGGAGTCTAGCCCAGGTCTGCCAGATTGCCCCACTTCTCTTGACCATTTTAAGGTGAGGAGAGAAAGGGTGATGTGTGGATTAGCATGCAATTATGGTAGATACGGGACAGAGCAGACAGGTGGTGAAGATGCCTAGACAAATGCTTGGATTCCAGAAAACGGTCTCTATATTCCTGACCCAGATGAGGTTGGGAATGCTGATCTAGATCGACAGCGGCAGGGATGTAGATGGGCCTCCATACCCAACGGTGGCACCAGCTTGTCGGAACCACAGAGCTCCTTCTGCTGCTGGCTCAGCAGCACCCATTCCTCCTGGAGTAAGTACACAGTGATGTCATCAAATGTCACAGGAGCCTGAAAGGAAAATGACAGCTGTTAAGTACCAGCCTCTTCCTTAGATTTATCTTCCACAAGTGTTCCTGCCCACCTGAGGGCTCCCCTGCATGGAGAGGGGTGTCGTCAATTTATGTGCATGGCCCACACCCCACCTCTCACCACCTGGGTACAGATCACAGTGAGAACAAGACTCGTTTCTTCTGGGAAGTGCCATGCACTGAAACGAAACCGACCCATGAAGGAGGCCGGCTCAGGAGACTCTCTGTCCTCTCCCCACGTGCTCTTCATCTGCCTCTCACACACCCGTTACTTCTCAGCCAGGGGCTGGGCAACAATTCAGGGTACATTCTTTCATGGAACCTTAAACGTGGTAAATCTTCACTTAGGAAGATGTGGCTGATTTCTAGAAACAGCTGAAAGTCATTTAGAACTATGTGTGTGAATGAAGTCGATGATGAAAACAGGCAACACTTTGGGGCTGAGATCTATGGCCCTCGTGGCTTGTAAAGGAGCTCTGTGGGCTGGGGAGTTCAGAAAGTGTTTGCAGGAGTTCCAGATTAAGATACCAGATTAAACAAGCCCATTTAATTTGTTCATTCCCCATGAATTTAAAAGACCCCCTTCCCAAAACAAAACCCCGACTATAATAGGAGGCACAACAAGGAGCCAACAGTAACACGATCTTGGAAACCAAGAAGCAGATGAAAAAGCAGTCACTCAGCAGATCCAAGAAAATCAAATCCTCGCCTGGCAGCGGGCCAACTGAAGAACCACCCAAGGTACGCCCTGCATCCTCAAAGGCTCAGCATCTTCCAGCAAGGGAACTCTCTAACCCCAACGGAACAAGAACTAGGGGAGGGCTGTGCCCCCAACAAATGCCTCCCCAGGTTCCTTTACATGAGGCTCCAGCTGATAAGCCCCACCCCCATGAGCACAGAGCTGTTAGATTTTCCATCTTTGCTAAGTGTTAGCAGACTGGACTACCAGATGCTTGGGGAAAGGATCTAACAGGGACTACAGAGACCAAAACAGATGGGAGGTATGAGGAGAAGCGGGGGTTGCTAAGGAAATGGTGGGGAGGCATGGAGAAAAAACTTAAAAAAAAACTAACATCAAGCTATACCATCGAAGAGGTAAGATACTGCAGCCACGAAACAAAATGTTATAAAAGAAATCATCAGGCCGGGCATGGTGGCTCACGCCTGTAATTCCAACACTTTGGGAGGCACAGGAGGGTGAATCGCCTGAGGTAGGGAGTTCAAGACCAGCCTGACCAACATGGTGAAACCCCGTCTCTACTAAAAATACAAAATTAGCCAGGCACGGCGGCATATGCTTGTAATTCCAGCTACTCAGGAGGCTGAGGCAGGAGAATCTCTTGAACCCGAGAGGAGGGGGTTTTGGTGAGCTGAAGTCTCACCATTGCACTTCAGCCTGGGAAACAAGAGCAAAACTCTGTCTCAAAAAAAAAAAAAAAAGAAAAAGAAATCAGAAAAAGGAGATATGTTTATCCTTTTAAGTTTTGTACCATGAAAACATCACCTAAAGAAATAAAAAATAAATCAATAAAATTATCAACAAAAAACAAATTTCTCACTCCAAAGAAATATAACTTTGGGAAATAGCAGCATGTCATTTAAATTAGGTGAAATATCTATTTTAACCTCAATAGTAGACATTTCTTGAGGAAAATGATATATATCATTCTCACTGCTCACTATTATAGTGGGTTTTTCTCACGTTGACTGCAGAAAATTTGGGCAATAGAAATAAGCAGAAAAAAATGTATTCAGGTCACCCACATTCCTTTTACTGAAAAAGAACTGCTTTTCATTACTCTTCTTTCCTGAGAACCTGTTAACATTTGGTATATAACCTCCCAGTCTTTAGTCTATGAATATGTATGAACAGTTTTAAAAACAAAAATGGAACTGTACTGCCAAATATGTATGATTAAATAACTATTTGCTCTGGAGTGTCTTCCAAACAAAATGAAGTATTTCCAAAAGGCTATTGGAAGACAGCCTCCCCTAAAAGAAAGGGGTCAAACAGGAAAGGAGTCTCCATGAGATACACCCTAGGGAGAGCCAATGTGGGGAAGCATCAAAGAGAACCCCAAGATTAAGCTGAAGGCAGATTCGGGATGACTGCTGTATCCCAGGACTGGAAGGCAACCTGGCTAGATTGGGACAGGTGAAAACACTTGTGACGAAGGACAGCCAGGCTCCCTATTCATGCCCATCCTTCCTGGGCATGCACAGGTGAGCATAATAAAGGCCAAGGGCCCTATCACATTAGCTCCACTGCAGGGTCCAGCCCTGCTGGGTCCAGAGGGTATTCTCTATGCATTCCATAGTGTCCCCTAGCAGTCCTTGACCATAGCAACCCGAAGTTCCTAGATCATCATGCATAAAGTACAAGAAGGCTTTAATCAAGGCTTAATATTCAATAAGACTAATATCTAATCACTCACGCTACTTATTCCTAACTAGATTCTTCTTTCTATATTCTATTTACTAAGCAGGAACTGGCCTAGGCTTCAATCTCCTGCTTCGGCACTTAAGAGACTTTCCACCCACACTCCACCTGAGGAGCACAGACAACCATAATAAAATGTCTTCCCAGCAAGAGTGATAACACTAACACCTGGTACTTCTGTTAAGCAGTATTATGGCAAGAGCCTTCTGATTCCAGGTGACTGCAATGTAAAGAAAACACAAATCTGCAAGAATAAGAGGAATTCCTCATCTATGTGTAATGCAAAGAATATCTCCCGACGTTCTATTTTAGTGGTTCCCACTCTCTACAGGGTAAAGCTGTCTGACTTCCCAGTCTAGCACCAAAGTCCCCTCAGTCTGAATCTGACCCACTTTCTAACTTCAGCTCTATGCATCGCCTCACTGGGAATGTCTCCTCCAGCCAGATTCGTTATCACTGCAATCACCCAACCTACCTCACACCTTTCCTCTCTCTACACTCCCAATCTTTAGATCCTGACTGCCCACTTCCTCCCACCAACTTAGGATCCATCCACCCATAATGTCACGATTCACGTTCTCTTTCAGGCAAGATTTCCTAACCACCTGGCCCAAGCGTTTATCCTTCTTCTGAGCAAGGAAGGCTTTATATCCCTCCTAGAGTCCAGCCTTCAGGTAATCTATGCTGGTTGGTTGATTTTACAACTTCCTTCATCACCACCACCCTTCTCCCCACCACGTTATATGGAAAGGATTTTACAGGCACTTAATTCACTTTTTCATTCGAAACACATTTATTACTTAAGTGTTTGTGCTTGGTGCATGGTGATTCAAAGATACGAGATTAAAATCTATCAGGAGGTGACACACAACTAAGATGTAAGTGCAATAACAGAACCATGTTCAGAGGAAAATGAAAAAGGAGTATCAGTCACTTGTACAGGAAAGACACAGAGGGTCAGGAACCAGAAACGCTGAGGCAACGAATACATACAGAAACAAGTACACACAGAGACTTCTCTCTGGGGGCATCAACAAGAGTCTCCTAGGAGGCAGGTGAGGTGTCGGGCTAAAGTGTTCCTTAGAGCACACACACCTTGCAGCAAAAGGCTCCTGGAGTGATGCTATTTTGTGAGCATTCCTTCCTGAGAACCTATTAAGTGCCAGTAACTGCTCCACTGTTGTAGCCGGGGATATAACAGTCAAGTCAACAAATATGTAAATAAATAAATAAGCCTGAGAATTTTTAGCGATAAGGGTTGGGAAGAAAACAAAACAGGATCATGGGACAGAGCATGATAGGGAAAAGTCTGACCTTATCCATTATTCTGCCGATAACAGGCAAGATATCCTACGCTCAGTGTGGGATATCAATCCAATGGCCCAAGATGGCTTTTAGTTAATAAAGACCACAAAACAGCCCTGAGGGGGTGAGTGAATGAGTGATTGCGCCGGCAGGTGGGTGGTGAGAGAATGTGAAGGCCTAGGACACTACTGAATTCTTCTGTAGACTTTATAAACACACTTAGGCTATGCCGAATTTATTAAACATTTTTTTTTCTTCAATAATAAATTGACCCTAGCTTACTGTAATTTACTTTATAAACTTAATTTTTCAAGCTTCTGACTCTTTTGTAATAACACTTAGCTTAACACTTTGTACATCTGTACAAAAATATTTTTCCTTGAATATTTTTGTATTTTTATTTATTTTCTAGCAAACCATTCTGCCAACCAAAAAGTGTTTTTCTTAATATTCGAATTATATGGTTTTGTTTTTTAAATCTTTTTTACTTTTTACTTTTTAAGCTTTGTTAAAAGCTAAGATAGAAACACATACATTAGCCTAAGCCTACACAGGGTCAGGATCATGAAGATGTCACCAGGTGATAGGAACTTCTCAGCCTGACCGTAGTCTCAGGGGGACTGTTCGTGAGAGCCCTGCTGATGGAGACCTTGTTATGCAGCGCGTGACTGTATTTCTCTCTTCTCCCATTAAAGGCTAAGAGAGCCTACGACGGAGCAGAACAGCTTGGAAATCATCCTCAAATCACTAATTCCAATATCAATTCCAATATTTTATAAGCCTTCCCCCTACATTTTGCTCCTCTTTATTCAAATTCAGGTTCAATGTAAACCAATCTGGGGATATTTCTAAAGGGTAAGGTCCACAAGCTCCATCTTTGCTTGGGTTCTGTTGAGCATTTATGGTCTTGGACTGTGTACCCTGTAGGTGCCGTGTCTGGAAAATGCATCACTGTAGCCTGTGGAGTGGAGGGAGGATGCAAAAGACGCGAGAAATCACCTCTTCTGAAATTCAGAATCCTTCCTAGTCTTCCAAGGAAAAACTTCAGCATCAAAAGAACCTCATTATCAGCCGGGTGCGGTGGCTCACGCCTGTAATCCCAGCACTTTTGGGAGGCCAAGGTGGGAGGATCACGAGGTCAAGAAATGGAGACCATCCTGGCCAACATGGTGAAACCCCGTCTCTACTAAAAAACAAAACATGGAGCGATTTGTCTGGTTAATTCTGATAACAAAACAGGAATTAGCTGGGCGTGGTGGCACGTGCCTGTAACCCCAGCTACTACGGAGGCTGAGGAAGGAGAAATGGTTGAACCCAGAGGTGGAGGTTGCAGTGAGCTGAGATCGCGCCATTGCACGTCTGGTGACAGAGCGAGATTCCATCTCAAAAAAAGAAGAACCTCATTATCCTTTCTCTCTTCTGGTGGGACAACCATTTCAGGCGTGTCCAAGTTATCGAAGTGAAAACTGCAGGAGAACTGCTTGAGAAAGGTGGTGATTTCCTATTTATCCTCAGACTTCTACCATCTCGTTCAATGCAAATCACAGATCACAAATGTTTATTAAATGGACAATTTTTTAAAGTACTCAATAACAGTCAAAAATGTTTGTTGAGAGAATTCTCCTCTGTGCCAAATAACAAACAATCCTCGAGAAACTGGCGGCAAACAACATCCAGAAAGATGTTAGTCCCAAGAGGCTGCCAGTGTCTCCAGGCTAATGTGCCCACAACCACACTGGTCTTTGCTGACACGGCCTGGAAGCGCTGGCAAGCCCGTCGAACCCACTGAATTCTACCCACCAAGCACTTTCTCTCCACTTTTTCTTCCAACTCAAAGCCAATTTATGACACATGCTTCTAAGCAACGCCCAGATACTCCATGAAGTACATAACCTAGAAAGAGAAGTGGCAAAAAGCATGCCAGATGCCCTCTCTTTTCAGGGCAGGAGAAAAGAGGGAGGGAGGGATCTTGGGAAGAAGGATCTAGGCAGGCCCAAGCCCTGAAGCGGCCCACCCTGCGGCTCCCACTAGCGTCCAATCCAGACTCCAAGCCTTTGAACAAGCAAGGCCTCTTGAAAACGCAGGCGGGGGTGGGGGGAACAGGAAGCACCCCCGCCTCGCTTCACTCGGGGGTCACCCAACCCAGCATCGATCCAGCGGCCGCTCGCCAGCGCGGGGAGGACGCGAAGACACGAACGGGTACGTCCGCTCCTCTCTGCCACCCTCCCGGGGGCGGGCCGGTGAGTCCTTCCCCGCAAGCCTGGCTAGTCTGCTGGGCCTCCGCCCGACCCGACCCGCCTCTCCCGAGCCAGGCTCTGGGATCCTCGGGAGGGAGCGGGCGGCCCCGGGGCCTTCCAGTCCTACCTTCCCCGACTCTCTGGGCTCCATGGCCCCGCTTTCGGAGGCCCGTGCCGCCCCCTCCCCCCGCGGCCTGGCCTGACGATGCAGCCGCCGCGACCGCCCCGGGGACCCGGGCTCCCGGAGGGGGTGGGCGCCCAGGCGGGGAGGGAGCGCGGCCCCAGAACTTCGCTCTCTCACGTCGGGGGGCGGTAGCGCCCGCGGACCCGGGAGAGGCGCTGAGCTGGGACTCGCGTCGTACCGAGCGAACAGCTTTACGGCCGCTGCCCCGCCCCAGGCAGCGGGGCGTGACGGGAAGTGTAGTCAGCTCTAGGTGAGCGGCTCCCGAAGCTGCTATTGGCTACCGGAATGCAGGTCCTGATTGGACGCCGGCGGCGCGCTTGCGACCCTGGCTGCCTCCCTCCGGTGATGGTTACTAGGCAACAGCCGCGTGGCGTCCTTTGGGCCTCTGCAGCAAGGGCAAAGCGCCCTGATTGGGCTACGCGAAGGCCAATGTCAACCTTGAAGGTTCTAGGTTTTCTTTTATTAAGGAGGTCAATACTTTTTGTTCTAGTCACTCAAAAAGTATCGTTAATTGCCTACCATGGGTCAAGCCGTGTTCTAGGGCTTAGGAGTACACCGTTGAATAAGACAAAGCCCATGCCGTCAAGGAACTCACAGTCCATTAGGGAAACAGACCAGAAACAGATAATTAAAAAACAGACAAGTGCCGTGAAGGAGGTAAGCACGAAATATGAATTCAAGCCCGCGTTGTCACCTTAGAGTGAAGCGGTGGGGGATATGATGTGCTTAATCAAGGATTTCCTGAGGAAGTGATGCCTAAGCAGAATTAGAGCAAGAGGTAGGGGTCCGCCAGGTAAAGGAGACGCAATGGACTGACTGGTGTTCCCCTCCCAGGAGATGGGGCCTTTGAGAGGTTTAGATGAAGTGTGAGGGTAAGGCCCTCATGATGGGATTAGTGTCCTTATAAGATGTTTTGGCCTAGTGTGGTGTCTCACACCTCTAATCCTATCTCTTTGGGAGGCTGAAACACGAGGATCACTTAAGCTCAGAAGTTTGAGACCAGCCTGTGCAACATAGTGAGAGATCTTGCCTCTATAAAAATAAAATAATTTTGTGAGGTGGGAGGGTGACTTGAGCCTGGTTAGTCGAGGCTGGAGTGAGCCAGGATGGTGCTCAGCACTCCAGCCTGGGTGACAGAGCGAGGCATGCCTCAAAAAAAAAAAAAAATACTTTTAGGTGGCCAGGGAAGGGATGTGCCCTCATGAAGGTAATAGTGACCATATGGGTGCTGGGGGAACGAGATACGCCCTTTGCCCTTCTGTCCCTCTCTCTGCCTTCTGCCATGTGAGGACACAGCAACCAGGTACCCTCCTGAAAGCAGAGACCAGGCCCTCGCCAGACACAGACACTGCTGGCGCTTTGATCTTAGATTTTCCAGCCTCCAGAACCATAAGAAATAAGTATCCATAATTTATAAATTACCTAGTTCCAGGGATTTTGGTATAGCAGTGCATACAGATTAAGACAAAGACCAACTGATTTTTTTGTATTTTTAGTAGAGATGGGGTTTGGCCATGTTACACAGGCTTCAAGTAACCATTTTCCATTACCCGATTCTGCTCTCCTGGCTAAGGTTGAAGAGACCTAAACTTTGTTCGAGGAATGTAGGGGAGTCTCCATTACTGAAAAAGAATGAGACACAAGAAATGTGGAGGAGAAGGTAAAGAGTGAGGACTGTGTGGATTCCAAGTGACCTGCCACTCACCACCTCAGCTGTATCACTACGTTGGAGAGCTACATTTCTGCCCATGACTTATCCCTGTCTTTATAACAGATTCTCTTTTGGGGGTTAAAAAACTGGAGAACAGCTAGGGTAAATCATTTCTTTTGACACGGTTTTCCGTAAAAGGTTTTCCATTTTCCCCCAGAAAAATGGAGCAGTATCTAGCAGGAAATGGGGAGTGAAAGCAGCAGGCCTAAGATATGAGACACAAGATCTTGTTTCTGTGTTTATAGGAAGGAAACTGATGATCCAAGAGGGGTTAGTTCACAGACCCAAGTCCTTGAGAAAGCAGGAGGGTCTAGGAACAGAGTATCAAGGGCCCTGCCGGGGGATAGAACACTTTTTTATTTTTTGAGACAGAGTCTCACTCTGTCACCTAGGCTGAGTGCAGTGGCTTGATCTTGGCTCACTGCAACCTCCACCTTCCAGGTTCGAACAATTCCCCTGCCTCAGCCTCCTGAGTAGCAGGGACTACAGGCATGCACCACCACACCCAGCTAATTTTTGTATTTTTAGTAGAGACGAGGTTTCATTATGTTGGCCAGGCTGGTCTCAAACTCCTGGCCTCAAGTGATTCACCAGCCTTGGCCTTCCAAAGTGCTGGGATTACAGGCATGAACTACCATGTTTGGCCAGGAGAGGAACACTTGATTCTGCCAGGAGGAAAGAAGGAGATGGAGTAGAAGTAGGTTTGTTTGTAGATTTACTGAGGGAATTTCCATCTGATGATGTCTCTTTGAGACAAGATCATCTCACGAAAATGAAATGAGGGAAGAGAAGGTATACCAAGTCATATACCAAGTCCTCCCGGGGAATGGGAAATAGAGCTTACCTCAAACCTTGAATTAAAGGCCAAATTGAAGTTTATGATCACAAATTGAAGGTTTAAAAAAGCCCAGCTGGGAAATTCTGTTTAGAAGCAGAAAGTTGGGCAGATACTTGGGTTCATCCTGGCTTGCAGTATTGCCAGGTGGGTATGAATGAGGCACAGAAAAGCTAGGGAGTGAACAGTACTTGCACTAGAGTAATAATGGTAGGAAAGTGATTCTCAATTCCAGCTGCACATTGGAGTCACCCATGGACCTTTCAAACATCCCGATTTAATAGGCCTAGGATGGGGCATGGGCACTGATTTTTAAATTTTATTTTTAATTTTTTTTAGAGCAGGATTTCACTCTCACCCAGACTGGAGTTCAGTGGTGTGATCTTGGCTCACTGCAGTCTTGACCTCCTGGGCTTAAGAGATCCTCCCACCTCAGCCTTCCGAGTAGCTAGGACTACAGGAGTGCGCCACCATGCCTGGCTGCTGTTTTTTACTTTTTGTAGAGATGGATCTCACTGTGTTACCCCAGTTGGCCTCAAACTTCCGGGCTCAAGTATCCACCTGCCTCAGCCTCCCAAAGTGCTGGGATTACTGGCGTGAGCCACCGTGCCCAGCTGGCTTTGATATTTTTTAAGAGCTCCTCATGTGTTTCTAATGTGCAGCTTGTGTTAAGAATTACTATATAGATCATGAATCTAAGCTGCATCACGAAGGAAGATAGGAGGAGACTAATGAAAAAGTGAGAAAGTGATGCGATCAGTGAAATTGAAATCCCCAAAGCAGCCATAAATTATAGCAGAGGAGTACTACAGCAAGTCAGCTGGAGGGTTGGGAAGTCATGATTGGTAAGTAAATATTTGCAAGATTTTGAAAATAGCATAGCCGTGGGAGTGGATTCCCAAGACAGAGTGAAGAAGGTCATTGTAGGTGAGCAGGCAAACAATGTGAGGCCAGAATTTTGAGAGAAGTATCCACATGGACACAGAAAATGGGTGGAAAGGAACACTTGGCCATGAGTTAATTTCTTCTGTGGATGATGGGGAACAACCAGGGTGGCATTTGGGAGTCAAGGAGGGTTGTGTACCTACAGAGAGGCTCAGGCAACCCGGGAAGAGGGCTCTTTGCAGGAGGAAGAGGGAGAGCTGGCCCAGCAGAAACGTTAAACATGAACATCATAGAAGACAAGTATCTCTTTTCCTGGCCCAGAGGTGGGATGTAGGAGAAGTCCCAGCTTCCAGTGAAGTGAAGGCTTCAAGGGATGGGCGACCTAGTGTCAGTCATGACATGATGGTCAAAGAAATCTCTGGAGATGGGGGCAATGGAGCAGAGTCTATGGAAGACAGATGCGGAGTCTCAGAGGCCCCAGTGGGTATCTGGGAGGGAGAGGAGGTGTGGGGGACCACGGGAGACTGTGGGACTTACAAGGAGGATGGCATGAGAGGCAGTGGTGCTGAGGGATGAACGGGGAGGCTCGGTCTCCTGAAGAGGAATGGAGACCATGGGGACACAGAACAAGATGAGCTAATCTCTTGCAGTTCAGTGGGCCTCTTTTGATTTTTGTCCCCAATACTTATCTCAATAGTGTGCCTTCTAGCTAGCTGCTGTCTGTGGCTTCACAGGGTAGGACAGGACTTTGGGGTGAATAAAACAAGGAAAGCAGTTGGGAGGTGAGCAGAGTGGTGTGAAAAAGGAGGTTGTAAACAGGAGAGGGAGAAGCAGATATCAGCCCACATATAGGGGACTGTCTGCCACAGCTGTAGCTGAAATCACACTGGGTGGAGGAATATGACCTGGGACACTAGAGACGTCTAATACGGGAGGTCTTCAGGCTCCATTCAGCCCTGTCCTGCTAACAATGGAACCGAGGCTCAGATACGGGGAATAACTTGTCCAGGTTCACCAGTCACGGGGAATGCCGTGGTGAGTCCATCATAGCAGATGCACAGAGGTCTCCAGAAGACAAAGTCCTTGCTTGGGTCCAGGCCAGGGCTCAGGCCCACCCTCCCTCTTCCCTCTGGGCTCCAGGATGGAGACGCTGCACAAGGACTTGTTGCCAATGTCACTTTATTTGGAAGATGCTAATAATGTCAGGTCATGGACCCCCAGCTGGGGGCAGGTAGGAGAGTGTTCAGTGCCACTGAGTCCCATAGTCATAAGAGTGATGGCCATGGACTCACCCAGCGTAGCCTGTTAGCGCTTTGAGAAGTCACCTCCTAGAGGACACATGAGGGGGAGATGGGTTAGTAAGACAGGCAGAGAAATCAGGCTGGTGCCAGGAGGAAGCCCAGAGCCAACGCCAGGCCTCCTACTGTGTTCCACCCGGGTGGCATCGGTGCCTTCCACCTCTGTTTCTCCCTCACCTGCCACATGGTGGGACCTCAGGTTATCGTATGGCAGGTACTTAACAAAACCAGGCACCTGCTAGCCACCTCACACGCGTGCTCTCAACAAGTCCACCCAACAAGCCTGCACGGCGATGACAGCCCCGCTCAGAAGTTGAGGTCAGGGGCTGGGTGCAGTGGCTCCTGCCTGAAACCCCAGCAGTTTGGGAGGCCGAGGCAGATGGATCACTTGAGCCCAGGAGTTCAAGATCAGCCTGGGCAACGTGGTGAAACCCTGTCTACAAAAAAAACAGAAAGAGAGAGAGAGAGAAGGGGAGAGAGAGAGAGAAAGAGAGAAAGAAAGGGAGAAATTAGCTGGGCATGGTGGCTCACACCTGTGGTCCCAGCTACTTGGGAGGCTGAGGCAGAAGGATCACTTGAGCCCCGGAGGTTGAAGCTACAGTGAGCTGTGATCACTCCACTACACTCTGGTCTGGGTGACAGAGTGAAGACCCAATTAAAAAAAAAAAAAAAAAAGATGAGGTCAGGGAGGCGGAGCAAGGAAACAGGTGAGCTGGGGTTCGAACTAGGCACAGTTACTCCAGATACCCATGCTCACACACGATAGAAAACAAAATGAACAGGAATATTGAGAAGGGAAAAAACGGACTGGAAGGACTCAAGGAAGACGGGTGGAGTGAGGAGCTGCGCGTGTGTTCCTGGGTCGTGTACAACACTGGGTCCTTTGCCCAGGTTCCTGCCTCGTCCCCTCCCTGCCCGGAGCCCCACCCAGACGTACCCTGGCAGGAGCTGCACTGGCAGCTGTGGATGACTGGCAGCACCACGGGCTCCTCGTGGCCACCCGGACAGCGCAGGCTCAAGATCCGCACGGGACTCTCCGGGTCTAGGCGGTAGCTGCAGCAGTCACACTGGCTCTGCAGGTATGGCTCCTGGGTGAGAGGAAGTGGCTGAACTGGGGCCAAATGGAGTTGCCTCCCTTCCCTTGGTCTTTCCCATCCTAGGTGGGGTGGAGTGGCGGGAGGCACAGGTCCCACCCTCTTCACCAAGCAGAGTGGCTGGGCTACTGCCAGGCCCCTTCTGCAAGAAGCCCACCTCCTTCACGCCCACATGTCTGAATGTCCAACAATCTGCAGGTTAAATGAATACTTCTATTGTTCCCATCGGTGCCCCCTGGCTGCAGGGGGAAAGACATACTTCTGCCTCAAGGAGCTTAGAGTCTAGTTGGAGAGGCAGACTTAGAATACATGAAACTGCAAGTAAGTCCGTTCTAACTGCACAGTTCTGAGCCCAAATGCAAGGTGAGTTCTCACTCCAACGCAGGTCCCTGTGTGCTGCGGTTAAAGCACCTCCATCAGCATCCTCTGAGAATATCATTTAATTTTATGTATATTTATAATTTTACTTTGAAATGGGTAATACATCCATACAATGCCAAGTCCAAAAACTACAAGCAGTTATTCAGCAAAAAAAAAAATCCCTCCAATTTCTACCCCACTATCAATTTCTTTCCTCAGAAAAAAAGCATCTCTTAATTACTTTCTCTCTTTTCTCACTCTATGTTTTACAAATTCCAAAACTGTAAAAACAAAACAAAACCCTAAAAGCGATTTGGGAAAGTATTTCCAGCGGGTGCAGGGGTAGGCGCCTGGGGGCCGTAGAGCGGCCCAGCATTGCGGGGCAGTGTCTTTGGGGACCAGGGAGGAAAGCACCCTTGTCTTCCAGGATGAGGTAAACCAAATGGGCCGAGGTGGGTCCAGGGGGTGGTGGGAGTGCTGGGAGTGGAGCTGGAGAAGGGACCGGGCAGAAGGCAGCTCAAGTCACAGCACGCCAGGCTCAGGCTAAGGGGAGTCAGGGTGAGCAGGAGCCCCTCGGAATATCCTAAGAAGGATCAGGGCTTCTGAGTCCACAGAGGGCAAATGCAGAGCAGAGCCACCTGCCCGAGACTCAGAGCCAGCCTGGCTCGGACACCTTTCGGGAAATGTATGGTGGTCCTATCTGTAGAGCGTATTCCCGCCGAGCTCTCATGCACTGCGTGATGGGTTCTGATTTCAGAGGCTAGCTTAGCTCCTCCATTCCTTTCTTTTCTGGGCCCCTGGCTCATTGCCTTGAGGGGCACAGTGGGAGTGGTATGGGGCCAAAAAGACCTCCGTGGGAGGAGTTGGGCACCCAGAGAGACCTGTGGGCCACCCGCAGGTGCACGCCACTGCCTGGGGCAAAGCGCTGACCATCTGACTCCCTGACTCTGCTGTTACCTTCGTGAAAAACACCTCATGCTTCTTGGCCTCTGGCTCTGCCCAGGTCCCAGGCTCAGGGCCAACCCTCAGCGGCCACTGGCCACACTGACTCCCCTGGCCTGGATGGCAGGCCCCTGGCTCACCTCTGGCATGACGTGGGTGCTGGATGGGCAGTGCCCACTGCAGTAGTTCACTTCTACCTGGTCCAGGTAGCAGAGCCCCTTGGTGAGGTTTCGAAGCTCCGTGAGGAGCTGGCAGGAGGGCATCTGCTCCTCTGTGGGGAGGGCCATTGAGTGGCAGGAGGTGTGGGCAGGGCACTGGAGGACGAGGTGACTGAGGGGACTGTGGGGGCACAGGAGGAGGAGGTGACTGAGGGGACTGTGGGGGCACAGGAGGAGGAGGTGACTGAGGGGACTGGGGGGCACAGGAGGAGGTGACTGAGGGGACTTGGGCACAGGAGGAGGTGACTGAGGGGACTGTGGGGGTGGGGCAGGGCCTAGGTCTGAGGGACATCCAGGCAGGGTGGTCAGGTGCTATGATATGTACTGGAGTCTTCATTCCCCAAATCCCCTTGGTGGGTTGGCTTGAGGGAGGCAGGCACCTGCCAGGCTGAAAAGGCCGTGTGTGGGGTGGGGCTGGAGAGAAATGTCTAGACCAGGGAGAGGCACCCCACAATGTGCCCAGGGTCCCTCCATACCCAGAGTCTCCCGGTGGCAAGAGGGACAGCAGCTCCCTGGCTCCAGCACCATCTCCTCACCCTGCAGAGGGAGAGAGCCCCAATGCAGTCCTGACACCTGGCCCCAGTCCACCGTGCCCAGGGACACCAGGGAGGGTAGCAGGGCTGCAGGGGATACCTGAGCACGGGTGAGGGGGAACCACCCCGGAGAGTAGCAGGGCTGCAGGAGGTACCTAAGCACAGGTGAGGGGGGACCACCCCGGAGAGTAGCAGGGATGCGGGGATACCTGAGTGCAGGTGAGCGGGGAGCAGCGCTGGGTGCAGACAGGACTCCCACTGAGGCAGACGCAGCTCTCACAGGCCTCCTGCCATTCAGATCCAGGCTGGGGAGAGGAAGGAGAGCCTCCTTTTGGTCTCTCCCAACTTGTAGACTCTTCTATAATAGTATCCTGGTCCCCCAGCCCAGCCTGCGAGTGCCTAGCTGGGGCAATGCGCTTGGATGGAGTCGGGCAACAGGAGACCCAGGAAGGAGAAGGGCTGTCGGGGCCAGAAACCATCCCAGGGTGACAGAGGAGCCCTGCTGGCTACTGCACGGACTGGAGTAGGGGGAGGAGCCAGTGGAGTTACAGACAGATGGGGAGGCCTGGGGTCAGAAAGGGGTGGGGGTAGCAGAGGGGATTCGGTGTCTCACCAGGTGGGGCCGCCCCAGGTGCCAGCACTCGCAACGGTCTCTGGGGACGCAGGGGCCCGCCTGGCTTCGGAAGTGCCCAGGCTGGCACACACAGCCTGAAGCTCGAGCCGAGCTGCAGTTGCCTGGGGTCTCTGTGGCGTTCATCTCCTGGCACGTCTGCTCGCAGAGCCCCAGCTCCCCTGGGGCCACCTGCTGCCATGTTTCCCCAGGGGGGCACTCTGCCGGGGAATACCATCCAACCCACCTTTCTGGCCAGCCCCGGATCCAGCCTGGATTCCGCCCCCAAGCTGAGCACCCCGTGTCCCCGCGCTGCCTTCTCAGCAGCAGCGGCCTCCGACCACACCTCCTGCTCTCTGTTATCCACCCTCTCAAACATTAGCTGGGCCCAAGCCAGGTCTCCCCTCCTCCAGAAAACCCTCCCCTGACCAATCCTGTCCACCCAGCCTCTGTTCTCCCCTCTGTGGTGCTACCTGCTTGTCAGAGACCTAGAGGCTGTCCCATCTCTGCCTGTTCTAGGGGGTGGTCTGCCCGAAGGCTGGCTGTGCTGCATGTCTGCATTCAGAGCCCAGCATGGCAGAGCTGGGCACCTGGTGGGTGGGCCACTGGTCTTGATCAGACAGGGCAACCCTGCACTGTGCAGGGCAAACGCCACCGGCCTGGAGGCTGCCAGGCCAGGCCCCTCATTTCCGCTCTCCCTTCCAGCCCTCAGTTTCCTCACTGGCAGGGAAAGAGCCTTCTACTTCCTGGCGTCACTCACAGCCCTGGCTCTGTGAACACCGTGTGCTAAAGAATGCCCCCGCATGTGGGGCAGACCACACTGAGTGCCCCGGAGCCCTAGGCAGGGGGCGCTGGGTGTCCGGTTAGAGAGAGGTCAGTGTGGACAGGCAGGGGAGGAGGAGAGGGCTTCCTGAAGCTCTGTCTAGGCTGGGAGCAGGGCCCTCCTCCCCTCCTCAGTGCCAGTCCCTGGCCTTGACTTTGGAGGTGCAGCAGGGCATGGAAGCCACATCTCACCCTGACAGTCGACGAGGGAGCAGCTGAAGGCTCCACTGCGGCAGACGCTGGGAAGACAGAAGCTTGCTCAGAGGCCGCCCATGCCGTCCTCCTGCCCCATGCTCAGCACCCCCTTCCTCCATCCCTGCTCCCCACCCCACGGCCAGGCCTCACCAGCGGGTGCAGTTCTGGGTGAGCACAGTCCCTGGGGGCAGCTCCTGGGCCTGCTCTTCTGGGGTCAGGGTGTGGCCCCAGGGCAGAGAATGCTGGGTGCAGGGGCAGGCAGCAGGGGACACGCATGTGCCGTGGTGCAGCAGCTGCAGTAGGGCGGGCTCCATGACACTCGGACCACCGCCTCTTCCCTCCCCACCTGCCAGCTTTGCCCACATGGGAGTCAGGACACAGCACCCTGTACCCACCTGCCCTCCAGAGCAGCCACAGCCAGGCTGGCAGGGCTCCTGCACACAGATGGCACCAGGCTGCAGATGCCAGCAGAGGCGTGGGCAGGAGGTGGCACAGGCGCTAAGCACCTGGCCAGGGGGGCACTCTGTGGGGAGCACACAAATAGGAAGTCAGGAGGGACCCAGCATCTCCAGTCCCAGGCGGGGCTGCCCTGGGTCTGACCTCTCCCCACACTGACCCCCCACAGCTGGGGCAGGGCCTGGGCCCAGGAGTAATGGAGGGGGCAGACACCCACCGCCCAGGGCACTCACCAGGGCAGGGCTGCAGGTTACACTCCCGCCGCTGCTCTGTGTCCTGGGCCTGGCATGCTGCTACCCCAGGACCCCCCTTGCAGCTCCGATGTCGTGCCATAGTGCCCCCACCACAGGGGGCCGAGCAGTTGCTCCAAGCTGACCAAGGCCCAAGGTCTGGACACTCCTGGTGTGGGCACACCAGGGACCCGTTGACACAGGTGCTGTGGACAGGGGTAAGCACAAAGGGCTCCAGTCAGGGTGAACAAAACCCTCGCTCCCCAGCAATGTCAGCGAAGGCTGACCTGCCCCATGCCTCCACCTGAAGCTCCCTCCACCCTAGTGTGGCTGCAGCCATACCAGTTTTTGCAGTCCAACTGCACCACCTGGGCTGGGGCCAGCTCCCAAGAGGCATTGGCACTGGGGAGGCCACAGCGGCAAGAGGAGATTGGCACACAGCGCCCGTCCTGGACCAGCTGGCCTGGGGGACAGCGGCAGCCTAGGGGTGCGAGTAAGGAGGCCAAATGAGGTGGGGTGCTCAGGCAGGGCTCACAGAGGGATCCTCCCCAGCAACCAGACCGAGTCCAAAGCCTGGTTTCCACAGTATCTCCCACTGCCCACGCACAGGAAGGGGCGGCTCCAGCCCACCCTGTGTGTGGGCACCACCAGTAACCCTGACGGCCACCGGAGCATTCACATGGAACAGTGGCCCTGAGTGAACTTCACGCCATGCAGGACGCAGAGCTGGCTGCTGAAAGTGACCACGTCTCTGCCCCATCATTCAGGCCCCAGCCAGTCTGAGCCTCCCCGACCTCTGCCTGAGATCATATACTCTCTGGGAGCAGGAGGCAGCTGGGAGAGGCCCTGGGCTTCCCTGGAACTCCCAGCGGGTGGTGGGGCCTGCCAGCTACCTGGGCGGCAGGGTCCCTGCAGACACTGAACGCGGTCCCAGAGGTCGACACAGCTGCGTGGGCACCGGTTGGCACAGTCGATGGTGAGTACAGTGTCTCGGGCCTCACAGCTCTCGCCTGAGGGCCAGATGATGGGAGTCTGTGTTGGGGACAGACTTGGGCCCTCCTTTCCATGGCACACCTCGGGGGCAGGGCCAACTGTCCCTCAGGTTTTGTCTCTGATGTTCCTGTCCCAGGCCCTCCTCTGGATGGGGGATGGGAGTTACCTGGGCAGGGCCCTCTGTTGCAGCTTTCTGTCTGAGCCCATGGTCCCCGGCAGCCTCCTCCATGGGGGGCCCCTGCCTCTCTCCAGCGTAGCCTGAACCCCCCACTGCAGGGGACCTGGCAGGAGCTCCACGGCCCCCACGGACTCCACCGGCATGAGTCTGGGGAAGGTACGGCGGACTCAGTACCCAGGCCCACCTCCTGCCCCCCCTCAAGCCTTGAGCTCTGCTGCTGCCCCTCTAGGCTCTCCCGCTCCTCTTTCTAGCTGCTGCCTGGACCTCACCCAGCTTCAAATCCTGCAGGCCCAGCCCCTTCTGGCCATCTCCTCGAAACCCGCACTCCAGGCTCCCCCTGTCCTGTGGCCTCTGCCTCTCCCCATTACCAGGGCAGGCTCCAGGGTCAGGGCACAGGCGCTGCTGGCTGAGGGGCGCAGTGCAGAGGTGAGGGGCCCCGGTCCAGGGCCCCCCTGTCGCAGGATCCAGACAGAGCCGGTGGCGGTGCTGCTCTGAAGCCAGCACCGGGGCAGAGGTGGGGGAGAGGCCGGTTGGGTCCCGGAGCCAGCGTTCCTGTAGGGCACTTCTGGAGGCAGGGGCCAGGGCGCTGGGCGGCAGGCAGGGCCCACACGGCGACCACTCGGACCACTCACTCAGAGGCAGAAGACCTAGAAGGGCAGCGTGTGACCACCTTCCCAGTGACCACCCCCCACCCAGAGACCCTGGTGGACAGGCAGGAAGGGCTCAGGGTCATGACCAGGAAGTGCTGGAAACAGGGAAGGCTGAGAGAGGTGTGGGGGCAGGGTAGGGTGCCCACCATCCCGGCTTGCCTGGGACCGTCCCCATCTTAGCACTGAAAGTTCTGCATCCCAGAAACCCCCCAGTCCCAAGCAATGGGGACAGCGGTCTCCATAGGTCAGGGTTACCTTGGCAGCCCTGGCTGGTACACTGCAGCTCCCCACGCTGGCATTCACTGCGGGAGGGGGTGGTCAGGGTGGACTATGGGATGCAGGACCCAGCCCAGGACCCCTTGAGGTAACCTACAAGGGTACCTGAGCTCTCAGCATATTTGGGGCAAGATGAGGGAGTTGCAAACTCTGGCATCTCAGGGCCCTCTGTCCTGAGGCTGGACTGGGCCCCCAGGCCCCCCCTGCCCTCTGCCTCCCCTCCCCCATCACTCACCACTCCTTACAGCCCAGCTGCAGGCGGTCCCCGGGGGCCAGGGTCACTGGGGCTCCCTCTGCTGAGGTATGCCAGCAGTTACACTGCTCTGGGGGAATGCAGCCCCCAGCCTGCTCCAGCAGCCCCTGGGTGGAAGGAGAGACGGGGTGGTGATCATCGTGTCACCCCAGCACCCAGCACTGTGCCCAGCCTGCAGCAGGTGCTCACGCGTGGTGCCGAGTGAATGCCATGGGCACAAGCTGGGAGGAGGCACCGAGTTCCAAGGGGTTGAAGGAGGTGGGGTCGCCATGGCCATCACAGATGGGAGGGAGAGCGGGAGTGTGGGCAGAAGACCCCTTCTCCTTGGAAGGTGCCCCAGCTCCCAGCTCTCACCTTGGGGCAGTAGCATCCCGGCTGGCAGGGCGGCAGGTCCTGGCAGAGCTGACGGCTCAGCTGTGTGGCACAGAGCCCAGCACAGGGGGAGCCGCAGGCCTGGAACTCAAAGGGAGGCGTGCAGCTGTCCTCTGGGGGAAGCGGGGAGAGGCAGGCTGATGGGGGAACGGCCCAGAGACACCACTCCCAAAGCCAGAGCACATGCTGCATGGTTCCTTTGAGGCCCCTTGGGGTCATCTGGAAAGAATACAAGACGCCTGCCCTCCACATGTTGGAACAGACCAATGTCCCCCATCTGGCACCCACTCAGCACCTGTGGGCATCTCCAAGGAAAGATCAGGATGGGTTGGGCCTTGGAGAGCCATGAAGCTGCCTGGAGGAGGCAACTGAGGAGGGGGCTGCAGGAGTGAGGGGCCTGGCAGGTGTGCCAGAGATTGGCAGACCAGAGACAGAGGGGCAGAGGTGGAGAGCAGCCGCAGCAGGAGGTGGGCAGGACACCCTCCTAGAGGGCCAAAGCCACAGGCAGGCCGGCAGCTGCAGCGTGGATAAATCGTGGTGAGGGATTGGGGTTGCAGCTGTGACGAGGGAGTAGCTGGGGAGCAGGGGAGCAGCTGGGTTTGAGGGCAGGTTCGGGCCGGTGCAGGCAAAGGCTACGGCTCTGAGGTCTTGGGGGCACTACATTGACTGCGAGGGGAGCAGGGTGTTCCAGCAGGGACCCTTGGCAGCTGCTGCCCTGCTCAGCTCCTCAGCTTCTTGCTCCTGGAGCCTCACCAGAGCAGTTGCCGATGGGGCAAGGCCGGAAGTGGCCATCCAGCCGCGTGCAGGGGGCTCCCGCCCTGGCCACTTGGGACGCTGGGCCCTGGTGTCGGTAGCGCTGCTGCACCAGCACCCGGCAAGAGCATCGTGTCCAGCTGCTCCAGCTGCTCCACACACACTCCTCTAGAGACGGGAGGGATGTGTCAGCCCGCCTTTCCCCTGCCTGCCTCCCTCTCACCCCAGCCCTGCCGAGACCCTGCACAGGACACGGGCAAGAGGGGCCTGGAAGGCCTGGCCCCTGGACGCCCTCTCACCCCACAAGGAGGGCTCCAAGGGAAGAGATGGTGGGAAGAGGGAAGAGATGGTGGGAAGAAGAACGGAGCACACCGCGGGGGCAGGATCCCTCCAAATAAGCAGGACAGGGGCAGGCTTATTTGGAGGGATCATCTGGGAACTGGGAAATATTTATTTTCTGAATCTCCCAAGGTAGGAAAAGCAGCGAGGTGACTTCACTCACCCGGACAGGGCCCTGGGTAGCAGCCCCGCATGTCCAGGTGGAGGAAGGTGCCGTTGCAGGCGGGGTCGGCCTCAGCCAGCAGGCAGGGGCAGGACCCAGAGCGAGAGGCCAAGCCCAGACCACAGCTGCGGGAGCAGGGCCCCCATGGGCCCCAGGCACAGGCCCCCAGCAACCCCGGGCAAGGCTGCTGCCCACAGGGCTGGGTCTGGGTATCGGGGCCCAGGCAGGGTGAGCTCCCGTGGGGAGGGGCTGCAGCCCTGCAAGCCCGGATTCGGACCTGGTTTCCACCTCCACAGGACACAGGGCAGTTGGACCAGGGAGACCATAGCGTCCAGGTCTCGGGCACTGTGGGAGGGCACAGGTAAGGTCAAAGGAGGCAGAGGGAGCAAAGGCCAGAGGGCTGGGTGGGGACCTGCATGGCCCAGGGCATGAGAGTTGAGTAAGGTGGGAGAGAATGAGACACAGGGCACATGGCAGGGAAGGCATGAGGCTAGGAGGGCGGCTGAGGCGGGGACACAGAGACACCCAGACCTGCACACTCGGTGTCTTCGCAGATCATGCCCTCTGGGGTGCAGGAGCTGGGAAAGAGCTGGGACTCAGGACTCTGCTCTCCAGCAGGGCAGTCCCAGCCCCACTCCCTGCCCTGCACTCACCACTGCTGGCACTCCCCCTGCAGCCAGCTGTCCCCCAGGGCGCGGGGTTGAGTGCCCTGCAGACACAGGGGTGGGCATGGGGACTGAGGGCAGGGCTGGCTCTGGGACTGTTCCTCCCGACACTCTGGAGCCCACGAGCCCGATGAGGAGGACCTGGGTGGGGCCCAGGGAGAGGAGGTGAGAGATGGTCCAGGCCCCTCATCACTTCTCTCTCCTAGTGACACCTCCCGACTGGACCAGGACACTTAGGGTGGGCATGGGGGTAGCTAAGGAAAAGCCAGGGTAACCAGGGACACAGCTGGCCCAGGGCCTGAGGTGGTGCTGTCGCTGGTGAGAGTGGAACCCAGGAACTCTCCGTCAGAAGGGAGACTGCACCATGCAGAGGGAGGCCCTGGGTGGCAGAGGGAACATCTAGCCCTGTCAGCCCCATACCGGAAGCGGCTCTGCTGCCCTCCGGGCCCGCATGAGTGGCTGCAGGGACTCCAGGCCGACCAGCGGCTCCAGGCACAGTGGGAGGGAAGCGGGCAGGGCTGAGCCGTGCAGGAGAGCCGCCCAGCGTGGCATGAGCAGTTGTTGCAGGCATCCTGGTGCTGGCTCCCTGGGGCCCAGCTGTGGCCCTGGGCATCAGTGCAGTCACAGTGCCCAATTGGCACGCAGCCGCCATCCTGCTCCAGGGATCCTGTGGGGCAAGGGCTGACGCTGGCACCCCTGACCCCACCCACACCCTCCCACTCAGCCACCCTGACACTCCTGAAGGGCAGGGCGGCACCTACCCTTGGGGCAGCGGCAGCCCCTCTGGCAGACCTGGTCATTCTGACACACGATTCCCTCCTGGAGGTCTGAGCAGCGGTGGGGACAGCGGTTGGCACAGGTGACCACCTCCATGCCTTCTGGGCAGCCGGTCTCTGAGCAGATGGCAGGGGGTGGGGGGTGCCCAGAGTCAGGAGGGCCTGGGCCCCAGGGCTCAGAAACCCTCCTTCTGCCCTACTGGGGATCTCTTACCTACATGAAGCTACAGGGCCCATCCTATCCCCCACGTTGGTGACCACTGAAACACGGGGGACTCGGGGCAACTCTGGGAAACTCTGGGATTGGGACATGCTAAGTAGATGGTGAGTTTCTGTCACCTCCTGTGAATTCTCAGCACCTAGCCTGGCACTCAATAAATGCTTGTAGAGCTAGACTGGATTTGTGGGTCTCAAAAGACAACACTGTCACCTGGAGCCTCTTTTGTGTCCACCCAGAGAGGGTGGGAGTGTCCAGAGTGGGTGGGGATAGAGGAGGGGGGTCCTGGGGGAACCCAGGCCATGGGGCCGGTGAGCTGGGCTGGGCCAATTAAAGAAGTTGAAGCTTGGGGGTGAGAGGAGGGGGCCCAGGCTCAGCTACAGCCACTGGCTCCATCCACCCCCCCGCAACGAGCACCACATCCACTCCTGACTGTGCCTCAAAAAATTGTGACAGGATGGGTAACAGCTGAGGGGAGGAGCTCTCCCACTGGTTAGGGTGGCCGGGACGGATCCCTGGGCCTTGGCACAGCCCACAGACATGCTCAGGGCATCCTTGCCGACTGTCAGGCCCCGTCATCCAACCCAGTGGGCTGTTTCCAAACTGGCCCACGAGGTAGCAGCTGGGCCCTATGCTGAGTGGAGCCCAATAAGGTGGGACAGGACTGTCACCATTGCCATACCACAAGGCATGGAATTGCAGAGCCGGGCCTGGTGCCACTCCCCAGCACAGGCGGCACCCCCGTTCTTGGGTGGGGGGCCCGAGCAGCTGCGGCTCCTCAGGGACCGGCCTCCCCCACAGCTGCGGTCGCACCAGGACCAGGGGCTCCAGCGTGACCAGCCCCCAGGCACTGTGTGGGAAAAAGAATGGCCACCTGAGGAGTCAGCTCAGGCATAGGGTCCCCACCTATCCCACAAGCCTGGGTCAGATTCTGGTTTGAGAGACGGAAGTGCCACACTTGGGTAGGTTGGGTGCCTGGGAGGGGGCACTGGCACCAGGGGCCTTCCAGGGGCAGGGCCTGGGGCTCAACCTGGTCTCCCCCAGCCTGCCTCACCTGGGCAGGCTCGCAGATTGCAGAAGCGGCGCTCTTGGTAGGCAGTAAGGATGTCGGGGCACCAGTGCCCGCCAGGCCCAGGGGGATGGTATGCCCGCAGGCGGCGCTGCTGGCCCACCCCACAGCTGCGGGAGCAAGGTTCCCACGGCGCCCAGGAGGTCCAGGAACAGTTCCCAGCCCCACAGCCAGGGCCGGGGCACAGGGGCAGCTCTGTGACACAAAGTGGAGCTGGAGCCATCCCAGCAGCCTGGTACCTGCCCAGCCTCTCCTCTCTGCTCCCAGCTCAAGGGCAGACCTCTACCACGCAGACCAGCAGTGGCCTCACCCAGAGCTCTGGGCTCCCATTCTGGATCTGACACTGACTGTTGTGTGGCTTCGACAACTGGGCCTCAGTATCCCCTATTCTCATTGGGACAGTAATCTCAGACTCACAGGGCTGTGGGGGGGTTTGGGTGGAGAGTTCAGTGTACACACATGAGAATAAGGGATGTGCCAGAAGTCAGGCTCCCCAGCAGCTGCTGGGGTTGGCAAAGAGGACCCAGAGCCCAGTCAGACACTGATTTGAAATGAGATGTCAACACTAGAAACCAATGATTGCTTGAGGGGTGTTAGATGCTGGGACTTAGTGGTTACAATGAGTTGTCTGAGGGTGGCGGCTGGGGTCAGAGGTGAGGCTGGAAGGTGCACCTGTGCACGAGGGCAGGTTGCAGGGGCGCTCCTGTGACGGGTCCCCCACGGTGCAGTTAGCCAGGCAAAGTCGGGTGCGGCTCCGCCATGCAGGGTGAGAGGGGTCCGTACAGCTTCTGGAGCAGGGGGACCATGGGGACCATGGGCCCCAGCCATCTGGGGGAGGAAGTGGGGAGGATGCCTCCTGATGAGTCAGCTCTGAGTTTCAACATCGCCAAGAAGCAGGGGGCCCTGGGCTTGCTCTTCCCACAGGGAGGCCACGAGGCAGAGGTGCAGGGAGTGTGGAGCTACCTGGAAGGCGTGTCATTGGCTCCACCGTGGACCCTTCAGCTCCTGTGCCAAAGGAAACCCCACTCAGAAATGCTTCAGAACCCACAGTGCACCAGGACCATGCCTAAGGCTGGTCCAGCCTTCCCCCACGTGAGCTCCTGCGGACACCAGGCCCCAAGCACGGCACTTCTTGCAGAATTAAAACCTTTGCTCAAGCCATTCCTTTCCTCGCAGTGCTGGTAAAAGTTCCCTCCCTCCCTCAAGACCCCTCAGATACTGCCTCCTCCGAGAAGCCCTCCTAGATGTCTCCCCAGTGCCATCCTAACCCCAGCCCTGCCCACCACCTTCCTGCTGTCCTTACCAGGGCAGTCTGGGCTGGGGCAGTACTCGAGGTCCTGACGGGGCCCACGGCAGCCCTGACCACTGGAGGCAGCCATGGGAAGTACACACTGGCGGCTGCGGGTGCGGGTGCCCAGCCCGCCACAGGAGCGGGAGCACCGACCCCACGGGCTCCAGGGACCAAAACCACCACCGGCCTCTAAGCAGTCCTCCAGGGAGCAAGACAGCTTCCCATGTGCACAGGAGCTGGGGGAAGAGCCAGGTTAGCAGAGGCCAAGTAGGGGCAGAGGGCAGACTGGGGTTCCTGGTCCCTGTCCTCTTACCCTCTCACCTCTCCCTCCACTGAAAGTCTCCCTGACTCTCCCCAGCCCAGCCCCCACCTTCTCCATCCCCCTCACCAGTTGCCACAGCCTGTATGAAGTGTCTGGCCCGAGCGCAGCTCATCTCCAGGCCTGAGGGACTGACCAGGGTCACCTCTGGCGGCTCCCAGCTCCTGCAGCAGCCAGGCTGTCAGCACACAAGGGCACTCCTGGGTGAGTGGGGCAGAGAAGACAGTGTCACAGCACAGCCAGCCACCCACCCGGGGCTGCGCACATCCACTGGAGAGACTTAGGGGAGGAGGGACTTGGGGGAGGACGGTGAGGACCCGGAGGAGGGCTCCAGGCTCCAGGAAAGCATTTCCAGGAGCAGGGGGCTGTTTACCCATGTCAGGGGCATGAATGCAGCACAAGAGGGGCATGTTCTGGGCTTGGCCAAGCTGGCTTCCCCATGCAGGGCGCCTGGCAGGACACAAGCAGGTGCCAACACAGGCACTTACAGGCACAGACGCAGTGGGGGCAGAAAAAGCCTCAGCCAGGAATCCAGACGTTAGGTTTGGGTCTGGCGCTGCTGCTATGTGTGACCTTGGTGTGTCCCCTCCCCTCTCTGAGGCTCACTGTCACCATCTCTAGGTCTAGGAGGTGGGACCAGGTGGCTGCTCAAGTCCCTCCTGGCCATGGCATCCTGGAACTCTGGCTCAGGAGTGGCCACGGGTCGTCCAGTTTAGGATGAGGAAAGGGTCCCTGTGTGCCAGTCGGACTCAGCAGAGCAGAGCTGGCACCTAGCTGCCATTGGGATGCACAGCAGGAGACAAGCTGGGTCCGGGGGGAGTGAAGGTGAGGGGCACTGTCCCCGGGAGTGTGTGACAGGGAAGAGAGGGGCAGTGAAGACCCATGCCCTGCAGTGGAGGACAGGGAGGTGAGGCTGGACCAGTGAGGTTGGGGGATGTAGGGGCCTCGCAGAAAACTGCCCCTCCCTGCCAGGGTGAGGGGTGAGCAGGGCACACAGGCAGCACTCGGTCAGGGGTGGGTGAGACCCCCGGCAGGGCTGGGAGATGTGCCAGTGAGGAGCAGCGCCAGGCAAGTCCAGAGGCAGCAGGTGGTGCCCATTCCTGGGTAACCAGAGACCTGGGGAGGCTGGGTCTAACTCTGCCTCCCTCCGATGCTGGCAGCAGAGGCCCCAGCTGGCCTCACGAGCCTGTATGCTGCTTAGGGGCCTGCCCAGGGGTGACAGGGGCTGCAGGGGTGACAGATATGGCAGAGGAGACAGGTGAAGGGAGGACAGGGAGGGCTGTGGGCTGGAGAGGTTCTGACCTGCACACAGGCCAGGCGGTGCTGGAAGGTGCCCTCGGGGCAGTGGCAGCCCTCCTCGCAGCCCTCGGAGAAGCAGCCCACCTGCCGCATGACGTGGGCGCAGGAGAAGGGGCATCCCTCGCCGGGCTGGCACTCGCGGTACAGGCGGCCGGCCGGGCAGCCTGCCTCTGAGGCAGCAGCCACATCAGCACCTGCTCCAGCCCTAGCCCTCACTGCCCACCTCTGGGAGCCCCTTTCACCTGCCCATCCGCTGCCCTGGGCCGTGACCCCTCCCATGGCCCCCACAGCCTGGCTGAGTCCTCCTGCACTTGCCCATCGCTGGGGGGAGGGCGCTGGGGGACAGGTCGGGGTGGGGAGGGAGAGGCCAAAAGACACCCATGAGTCAGGGTCAGAGGCCAGGATGGGACTCAAAGGTCAGAAGGGGTCAGGTCCTGGGCTGGCGCTCACCTCTGCACACCTGTGTGCTGCATATGCGGCTCTGGCGGGCAGGCCCTGGGCAGGGGGGACGGGCACAGCGCCGGGAGCGCAGCTGCTCCCCGCCCCCACATGAAACACTGCAGTCCTCCCAGGGGCCCCAAGAGCTCCACACCCCAGGATCTGGGCAGCCAGGCACCTCCTGGCATTGCAGAATGCCTGCCACACAGGTGCTGGGGACAAGGGAGGGGGCTTCAGAGACCGGGCCAGCCCCGTCCCCCGAGGGCTCCACCGCTGGGCTCTGCACACCTCCTGGCCCCCACTTCTCTTGGCTTACCAGTTGTCACACGGCCCAGTGACCACCTCGCCGGGTTCCAGGCTCTCCCAAGAGCTGAGCCTAGACCCTGCTGACCGGCTCTGGTTCTCAGGGATCCCTGAGGGGCAGAGGAGTGGGGGCGGGTACTCCAGACAGTTCAGTACCCCCCATCCGTCCCTCCTCCCACCCCATGGCCTTCTACTCCCCACCCTCTTGTCCTCCACCCATGACACCTGGTGTCCTGAACAAGGGAGGTGGACGCTCCGACCAGACCAGCCCTGGGATTGGGGGTGGGGCAGGTGGAGGGACACGGAGTCCTGGAGAGCTGGCAATTGCTCATTTTTGTCCTGCAGCCTCAGGCTGGGCCCCCAGGAGAGTGACACAGGGCTGGGCAGGTGGCCTTGCAGTGCTGGGGGCTGGGGTCGAGGGGAGGCACTGACCCATGGCTCCAGGCTGGTACTGGCAGCGGCAGTGGGCCGGGGGCACGCAGAGCCCATCCTGGGAGAGCTGGCCCGGGGGGCACCCACAGCTGGGCTGGCAGCCTGCAGAGCCTGGCTGGCACACACTCCCGGGGGACAGGTCCTGGCAGGAGCGGGGGCAGGGCTGCCCACAGGGGAGCAGGCTCTGGCCACCCCCACAGTCTGGCAGGAAGAAAGCAGGGAAGCCACTGAAGGGCATCCTGAGGGATTCCCAGCCCTCCTGCCATGCCACGCCCCTCCCCTCCGTTGAGACCCACCACTTTGACCAGGTCCATGACTGAGTGACCTGGGAACTGTCCCTTGAGACAGTGACATGATGTGTGTGGAGGTTGGAGTCAGCATCTCCCTAGACCTAGAGGGGCCTCCCAGACCTCAGTGAAGACTCACCTGTGCACTGGGTGGAATTGTCCTGGCAAGGGCGACTCTGCGTGTAGCCCCCAGGGCAGGGCCTCCCTCCCTCAGGGGTGGGGGGCCGGCTGCACGCCCGGCTCCTGTGGGACTGCCCCAGGCACGTGTCGCAGGGAGACCACAGTCCCCATGGGCCCCAGGCTCCGTCCACTGTGCCAAGAAGACAGAGCATCTGCATGAGGAGGCCCTGGAGGCCCCAGGTTAGCGGGGTTGGAGCGGGGGTTTAGGGCCTTTTGGGGGAGGGACACAGGCCTCATCGGGGCATCACACCTGGGCACATGGTGGAGCTGGGGCAGGCCTCTCTCTGATGTTGGGCCCCTGCCTCTCCAGCCTGCCCGGGGCACGGGGCACCCCCATGCTGGGGAGCAGGGCATGCACAGGCCCTGGAGCGGCTCCTGGTCTGGCCCCTGCAGGGCTGGGAGCATGCTGTCCACTCCGACCATGGGCACCAGCCTCCGGGCACTTCAAGAAGAATGGTGGGCACTGGGGTGCAGCCCATCCCTTCCCAGGTCCCAGGCCCCCTCCTCACCTCCCTCCAAGCTGAGCACATACCTGGGCAGGGCAGATCTGTGCAGTTCAGCCTCCCCTCCAGGCAGGTGCTGGGCAGGGAGGGGGTGCAGACGCAGAAGGAGGAGGCAACAGCTTCAGTCCCACCCCAACCCTCACTCTGCACCCATCCCCACACTGCCTCTCCCCTCCGCTCATCCTTATGATCCATCCTCGATTTTCTCCTAGACAGTGGCCCGTCCCCCAGCTCTCCTGCACTTCCCCATCCTGCTCCCTATCCCACCTAGCTGGCCTCCTCAGGGTCACCAGCTGATGTCTTCTCCTGGGGAAGGACAGCAGGTACCCTGGAGCCAACTGTGTGGCCACACAGGTTGCAAAAGCCGTATCGGTCACTCTTCCTGCCCAGACCCCTCGTGCCCCTGAGCACACACCCAGCCCCTGCAGACACGTGGGCTCTGCTTCAGCATCCTCACCCATCAGACGCTGGTCACGGTGCCGGCCCCACATCTGCTCAGGGATTGTGGGGGGCAAACGTGACCATCGGCAGAGACTCTGGAGCGCTCAAGAGCATGGGACGAAGCGGGGCGACTCCTGCTGGCATCCCTACCTCCTGCCACGGCAAGGTCCCCTTACCAGTGGTTGCAACCGTCGGGCCTTGCCAGCCGAGCGCCCGGAAGGTGCCGCTGTCCGGTGAGCAGGTCCAGGCAGCCGCAGTGACCCGGCTGCACGCAGATGGCCCCGCTGGAACTCAGCACCTGGCCCGGTGGGCAGTAGCAGCCAGGCTGGCAGCGCCACACGCAGTGCTGGGGGACAGCAAGTGGGGGTCATCAGCAGAAAAAAGGAAGCTGTGCAGGGAAGACGACGGAGTAAGGGGCTGGGGAGGAAATGTGACAGAGGCTTCACGTTTTCAACACATAGTCCGCCTTGCAGTGCCGTTGAGACCCGAGACCGGCAGGAAGGGGACCCGGCCAGCCTTGCAGCTTCCACTGAAATCCCTGAGCAGGCCCCTCCCTGGGGGTGGAGGGGAGGGAGGAGCCGCTGAGGAGGTTCCCTTTGGCTCCTCTGGGGCAGGGATTTGGAGCTAGGTGTTCCCAAATGTAAAACCCCAATTCCTGATGGCTGGGAGCTGGGGCATGCCCCAGACCTCTCTAGAACTTGGGAGCTGGCTGGGCGAGGGGGCAGTTTGGGAAGGAGCTGGGGGGTCCTGGGGCGGCTGGGAACCGGCACTGCACGCGACCACCTTCTCCTCTCTTCTAGCTCCGCCTCTTTCTCCTCCCTCTCCCCACCTCCCTTAGCACCTCCACACTCCACACCATTGGAAGCCCCACCTCATTCTTCACGGTCCCTGGTCTGTCCATTCCTTCATGCATGTCTGTCCTGCTCAGCCCAGAATGTGGGCTCCGTGGCCACCCTGTCTGTTTGCTTCCCTCTGTGTCCCGGGTGCCAGGGGTGGGGGTGGGTGGGGCAGAGAGTGGACACACACTCCCCCCCCCCCCCCCCCCCCCCCCCCCCCGCCCCACGCACAGACGCAACGCCGGGATATCAACATGCTCTGGCATTGAAGAGATGGTTTCCCCCTTCCTTTGTTGTTTATGCCATTTTTGTCATAAAGTTTTAATCTGAGAAACGTCTGATCTACAGACAAGGGCTGGCAGGTGAGGCTGGCTCTCTCTGGGACGGCCTGGCATGCACTGTGAGCTGAAGCCAGGGCCCCCACCCATGCCCTCCCATGCTAGGCTGTCCAGGCCACGGCAAAAGAGGCCATGAGCCCAAAGCCATGCGCTGCCCTCCCGTGAAGTAGCCCTTGGGTCAGGTGGCAGTGCCAAGTGAGCTGGGACTCACCACTAGGTCATCACAGGAGCGAGGGCATGGAGGGCCACAGGGGCTGAACTCAGCCCCCTCAATAGCGGTGCAGTTGGTCACTGAGGGCAGACAGGATGGGCTGAGAGCTGTGTGGGGTGATCCACCCCCGCCTATCTGTCTGGAATGCACCTCTAACTCCCCTCCTCTGTGCCTCATCCCCACCCCCATCCCTGGCAGGTACCTGGGCAGGGCAGAGCCTGGCAGGCCTCCCCCTGGGCCCGTGGCCCCTCGCAGTAATCCCCCAGGCCCTGGGGTGGGGGCTGGTCACAGGCCCGGGTCCGGCTCCGCAGGCCTCCTCCGCAGCTCCGGCTACAGTGGGACCAGGGCCCCCATGGACCCCAGCCTCCAGCTCCTGGGGGGACAGCAGAGGAAGGAGTGGAGAGGGGCTTGGCTGGGGCTGGTAGCAGCTGGTACAAGGCAGCAGCATCCACAGGGCACAGTGGGCACCACCTGGGCTCCCCAGGGCAGTGCAGGCAGGAGGGCAGGCAAGCACTCACCATCACACACCAGCAGGACACATGGCTCCTCCTCAGCCTCAGGCCCCGGGCAGAGAGGCGTAGGGGTGGCTGGCAGAGGCAGCGGAGCCACGGTGGCTGGTGCTGCACTGGGGGACCTGGCACAGAATCGGTGCCGATGGCGTCGGGCAGGGCTGCAGGAGGCTGAGCACTGGCTCCATGGGGTCCAGGGTGACCACGCTGGCTGACCTAGGGGATGTCCAGGAGGCAGGCAGGCAGAAGGGGGACAGGCGCAGGCTGGGCAGGCTGCAGGTGGAGCTCCGTGCCCCTGCCCTCCACCTCTCCTGATGGCCTTCCTCCCCCAGTCTCAGCCCTGGCCCACTCCTGCAGCTGAGGGGTGAGGGACCCAGGGTGCAAGTCAGAAGTGGGGACATTTCCTTACCCTCCACACAAGGCCAGGAGCTGCAGTTGACAATGAGCCCGGAGACACAGGAGCTGGGGGAGCAGCAGAGGGTCGGGTGGTCTGTGGGCTGCATGGTGGCCCCAGATCCTCATGTTCAAGTCCTAGCCCCCTTCCCTGGGAATGGGAGCTTATTTGGAGATCGGGTCTATACAGAGGTGATTGAGTTAAAAGGAGGTTGCTGAGATGGCCCTAGTTTTAATGCATACTGTGTCTTAAGAAGAGAAAATGTGGGAAGATGATGTGAAGAGACAGGGAGAAGGCCACCTACGAGCCAAGGAGCACCAAGGATTTCTGGCAAGAAAAAGAAGAGGAGAGAGGCCTGAACAGTCTCTGGCACGGCCCTCAGAAGGAGCCCACCCCCGACACCTGGAGCCTAGGCTTCCAAGATTGCTGCTCAAGCCCCCCAGCGCGTGGCACTCGGTGGCAGCAGCCCCAGGAGGCTAACACAGGAGGGGAGAGGGAAGACAGGTGGGGGACGGGGGAAGGGTGCAGGCAGGTGCAGCCTCAGAGGGGCTGGAGGTGGGGGGCCATGTGTCTCTGTCCACAACTGGAGCCAAGGTCCCTGCCACTGAGGAGGGACAGTGGGTCCTTGGAGGTCACAAAGCCATAATGGGGTAGGGGCGGTGTCTCACCAGTTTTCACATGGACGAACCACAGTGCTGCCCGGAGGGTGGAGGTGCCCCTTGTGGGCACAGGGGCAGTCCTGGGTGGGCACACACATGTTGTTCTGGAATCAAAATCCTCTATCATCTTCTGCTTCCAGATGGGCTGGGCCTGGCCTCCCCAGCCCTCATCAGCGCCAGCCTGCCATCCTCAGGCTCCCCCTAAAAGCCACCCAGCCTCTTTCCACAGACATGCAGCTCTCCCCACTGCCCCCCTGCCAGGCAAACACAGACCATCCGCTTGGGGGCCGTGGGGGCATGGACCCTCCAATTTCTAGGAGAAAAAGACATCTTAAACTGCAGGACACAAGACTGAACTGTCAAATCTCCAAGAAGTCAGCCATGAAGACATGAAATGTGCGATTTGTACAGCAAAGGTAGGAAAAATCACATTTTCATCAATGAAATAAAAACAGAAAAACACTGTGCGCAGGGACCTGGACAGAAGTCATTCTGCCCAGGTTAAAAGAAACGGCCGTTTAGTGGCGCACGATTCAAAGTCAAACGCACTGAAGTTTATACACCAGGCCCTGGGAAGCACTTTCCTGCACTGTCTCACTGACTCCTATGACTAGCTGTAATTTTCCCCCAGTTTTACAAAGGAAGGGACTGAGGCATGAGAATGCTCCCCCCAAGCTCACAGAGCTACTAGCAGAAGAGCCTGATTTGGACTCAGATTTGATTACAACGTATCCCTTAACCACACCCCGCGGCTCAGCAGAGGCTGCCACCCTTTGTTCAATCCCACCAGGCAGCTGGCATTTCCTAGCCCCAATTCCCACCACCCTCTGACTGGAGTGGCCACTTCTCTGCTCTCCAATCTTGGATCTTCAAGTGTAGGACCACTTCCTCCAGGAAGCCCTCCATACCTCCCTGCTCTCCACACCCTCCAATTTCTGATGTTCAAGTTCTGAACTTGAACGCCACACCCTCCAATCTCTGATGTTCAAGGGCTCCTCCTACAGGGAGCCCTCCCTGACTGACCCGGCCCACTCCACAATGTGCAAAGCTCACTTCCTGCCTGTCTGATGGTTCTAACTTCATTCTAGGGGCTCTGGGTCTGGTTTCCCCAGACTGAATGCTTCCTGAGGGCAGAGACTGCTCCTTCGCCACCGAGTAGCTCAGCCAGAGATTAAACATACAGTAGGTGCTCAATAAATAACTGGCGATAACATAGTGGACAGAGCACTTGAGCAGGGACCATTCACAAAGACCTTTTAGAGCGATCACCATTTTTACAAGTGAGGAAACAGGTCGGGAGAGAGGGGTGAGACCTGCCAGGGTCCCCTGCTGGTTCCTGCCAGAGCAGAGTTGTAACCCATGAGTTGAGTGCCCTTCCTCAACCTTGCAGTGTCTCCCTGCCTCCAGCCCCATACCCTTGGCTCTTCACTGCCCAGGTCCTGCCTGTCCCTTCCTTGCCACCCCAGGGTCCCCAGGCTCTGCAGCAGCCCTGCTGGGGCCAGGCAGGGGGACGCTCACCAGCAGAAGCATCCCGGAGGGGCAGTAGCAGCCAGGGTGGCAGGTCTGGTTAGTCCCTCTTGGGGCACTGAGCTCTGCACAGGAGGCAGGGCCCTGGGCACAGTCCAGCCACTGCTTGCCGCTGGGACACACGCCAGGCACAGGCCCTGGGGACACAGAAATTGACAGCCCTGCCCCAGACACTCAGCTCTCCCCTGACCTCCCAACCTGGTAGAGGCACCAGCTCTGGGTATGGCCAGGGTGGTCGTGGGGGCTGCACAAAGGCTGAGGGACAGCACTGAGCCACGGTAGCAGACAGTGGGTTGACAGTGCCCTGGGTTGGTGAGAGTGAGAATGTAGGGTCCCCAGGGCAGCCCTCACCTGCACAGGGCTACAGGCCACAGGTGGAGAACTCCACGGGGCTGTGCAGGCCACTGCCACGGGTGCGGTTCCTGTAGCCACCGCCACAGGGCACGGAGCACGGAGACCAAGGGCCCCACTCCCCACCAGGACCTGGGGGTGGCACCCAGGTCATTGCAGGCCCTGCCTCCCATGGCCACCCCATCTCCTCCTCCTCCCACCTCGAAAGCCTAGGCATTCACCTGCAGTGTCATATCCCACCTACGGCGCTTCACACCTGCTCAGGGGGCTCCAGGATTTGGCCTAGAAGGGGGCTGGCCTCTAGGGAGAAGCTGGGGCTACTCTGGGGAGAGGCCCTGTTAGGGAACAGACCCTCAAGGAGTCTCTGGGGACCACCTCTTAGTGGCATCTCTTAGCAAAGTCTCTTGCACTTCTCTGGAGGTCCAGGGTGGGTGGTGATGGGAGTCTTCTTGGCTTCTCTCTAGAGGTTCTTTAAGGAGGTCTCAGGACCTCAATCCTAGCTCTCACCTCGACATGGCCACAGGCTGCAGAATTCAGCCTCCATGGTGGGGCCCTGGCACTCAGCACCCCCAAAGGCAGCTGGAGGTGCGGTGCCTGCGCGGAAGCGGCGCCGAATGCCCACGTTGCAGCTGCGGCTGCAGAGACTCCACGGGGTCCAGGGACTCCAGCCGCAGGCCACTGCCAGGGCGTGTGGGGGCAGAGGGCAGTGTGTGTGAAACCAGGTCAGTCTTCTCACACCCTGACTTCCCTGGGCACCACCAAGCTCCCAGGAGTTGATCTCAGAAGGAGTCCAAACCCCCTATGGTCCCTGAGGACCCACCGCCACCCAATTCCCGTGCCCTAAGTGTGGGGGTACCTGGGCAGCGCTCCGAGGTGCATGCCATTGCGCCAGAGACACAGGTGCTGCAGGGACAGGGGACAATGAGGCTCCAACCTGGCCATCATGGCCACAGGCAGCCCCTGCCCCCGGGAAAGCAGCTGAGACCACCGCAGAAGAGAAATCTGAGAGTCGGGCATGCAGCTTGCTGCCTGTGTCCCCCGAAAAGTTCGTGATGTACCCTCAGTGGGCCCCTCGACGCCCAGGCACTGTGCTGTCCTGTGTCCTAGTGTTCCATTTGTATTTATTGGGAAATGACCTCGAGGGCCAGGGCCATGTAGGAGGGACTTAGAGAGAGCCAGAGTTCCTAGGAGGGAAAACTGGGTCCTTCTCCACACTGGCTGTTCTCCCCAATATGTGTTTTAAATACTGGAGGTCCCAGAAAAAGATCGGAGAGATGAACAGTGAGAAAGGACAGGAGGGAGGAAGAAGGAAGGAGGAGGAAATTGAAGGAGGGGCAGGAGGCTGAGGTGGGTGGATCACCTGAGGTCAGGAGTTGGAGACCAGCTTGGCCAACATGGTGAAACCCCGTCTCTACTAAAAATACAAGAATTAGCCAGGCATGGTGGTAGGCGCCTGTAATCCCAGCTACTAGGGAGGCTGAGGCAGGAGAACTGCTTGAACCCAGGAGGCAGAGGTTGCAGTGAGCTGACATCGCACCACTGCACTCCATCCTGGGCGACAGAGCGAGACTCCATCTCAAAAAAAAAAAAAAAAAAAAAGAAAGAGAAAAAAAGAGGGAAATGGCTTAGAGCACCCTCTGCTGGCAGGTCCTGGTGTCAGCTTTGCATTCTGGGCCCTTGAATGTTTCTGAGCAGAAATCAAGTGGATCCCAGGTAGGAAATTATATTCAGGAAAGAAAACTAGAGAAAGCTGTGATGAAAGGTAGAAGACCCTCTCCCATCTCTAGTTCTATCATAAATCTCTCCATCAGTCTGAGACCCAGTCTTCCCATAAGTCAAACGGGGATGACCATTCATTCCAGTATTCCCAGGGCCCTGCCTGGCACCCGTGGCCGCTGTGTTGTGTTTGAGGAACGGAGCACCCCCCACGAGGTGTGTGTGTGAAAGGGAGTCCACGCCTGCCCACCTCTAGAGCCCCGGCCCCTCCCCCACCCTGCCCCCACACTGTGACCCACCAGTTGTTGCAGGAGTCCAGGAGAGCCATCGCTCCTGGTGCATAGAGCTGCCCATGCAGCTGGCAGGGGCACTGGCTGCGGGGCAGGCAGCTAGCGTTGTGCAGGAAGAGACCAGGGGGACAGGTGCAGCCAGGGGTGCAGAAGCCTGTACACTCTATCCCGGGGCCCTGCGTCAGGCACAGCCGAGGGCAAGGTACCCCCTCCTGGCGACACTGCTCTGCTGAGCGGAACACCATGTTCTCTGGGCACTGGGCTGGATAGGAAGACAAAGCAGGTCTCAGCAGGGGCAGGAGGGAAGGGAAGGGAAGGGAGGCAGAGGGGCGGAAGGGAACCTGCAAGCCAGGCATGGGGTGGCAGCCTGCCGGGTGGGACTGTGTCTGAGAAGCCATCCCTCCTGCCCCGACCCTCACAGCTTTGCTCCAGTGTCTGGAATGGCACCAGTACACAGTCACAGCTTTGATCCACTTTAATACAAATATTCTTGAGAATAGATCATGAGGACTCTAGTCATCTGGGATAGGAGGAGCGCTCAGAGGACAAGGGAGAGTGAGGAAGGGGCCAGGGGCTTCGAACTGTGAGCTCTGCTCCCCCATGATTCTGGCCCTGAGTGTGTTCTGCCCTGAGGAAGCCCTGTCTGACTCCCTTGGGGAACCTGTTCTCCGGGGAAGGAGGCTTGCTTCCACCAGGGTGTCAGGCCTCCAAGTCCAAGCCTGGCCCTTATAACCTTGGTGACCTGCCCGTACACCTCTGGATGGTCTCCAGGAGCCAGAAAGTCTGAAGTAACCAGATGCCCATAAAGAGAAATGAAACAACTGGCTCTGGCCTCAACTGATTGCTCTCCCCCTGCAACCTTCAACCATTGTTCCTGCTCAGCCTTGCAAGATTCCCCCCAGACATGAGGTCTCTCAAAACCCCCACCCCAGTAACTATGTAATTTACTGCATCCTCACCTCTGCTTGCAACTGATAACCCCCAATGCCTGTTTGTAATAGATAACCATGCACCCCATGACACCCTCCCCTTCCCTAAAATAGATGACCACCTTTAACTGACCATTTGCCCCTGTATAACCAGTCCCCTTTTCTACTCCCCTCTCCTAACTGCTTTCTCGGATTTGACCCACTTGCACCCAAGCTCTAAATAAAACGGCCTCGTTGCCCACACAAAGCCTGCCTGGTGGTTTCTTTATGCAAGCGACATGCATAACACGGGAAAGGGCAAAGAGCCTGAGGGGTGATAGCTGCTGGGACCTGATCCCCGGTGGCAGGCGGGAGAGGCAGGGAGCTAGAGGAGACACAGGAAATCCCAGGCTCCCTTAGCTGCAGACATCATCCGGCCTATAGTCAGAGGTCGGCGATGGGCGAAGGTGAGGGTGGGGAAAAGGTCAAAATCCCCAGGAGCTGGGCCAGGGAGACCCACTGGAGAACAGGCAGGGAATCTGGTACCTGTGCAGGGCTGTGTGTTGCAGTCCCTGGTCTGACTGTGGGGTCCTGGGCACGCGGTGTCCCCTGGAGTCATGGTGGAGCAGCTGCGCCCACGCGTCTGGATGCCGCCATCACAGGGAGCTGAGCAGGTGGACCAGGGAGCCCACAGACCCCAGACGCTTGGCACTGCCAGGAAGAGCCGAGTCCAGGGTCATAGACAAAGGCCGGGATAGGGCATGGGGGTCTGGAGCTGCATGGCTCGAAGAATCTTAACTGCAGCCTCCAGCCCCCACCAACATCTACTACTCAGGCTGGCTTGCTGGGCGATGCTGTGGCGGGAAGAGGCTTAAGGACAACAACCAGGTTTGCTCCAACCCTTGGACCTTCCCAGGTGTTTAGAACTGGCTCAAGGGGGTATTCTTTTTTGCTCCTTATCCCTCTCCCATGTTCAAGCCACAGCTGGGCCCAAGGGGGAATACCTGGGCATACAGGGGGGCTGCAGGGCTCCTCCTGGGTGGCCTCTCCTGGGCAGGATGTGTCCTCGGGGCTGGAGCAGAGTCGGGAACGACTGCGCCAGCCAGGGCCCCCTCCGGGAGCAAGGCAGCTCTGGGAGCAGGAGGACCAAGAAGTCCAGGGCGTCCAGCCCAGCACCTCTGCGGAGGGGGACAGGACAAGCCATTTGTGCAAAGGCGTTTCCTGGCGGGGCTGGGGAGGGTTGGAGAGCCTGGGTGAGGTCAGAGAAATAGGGGGCAGAAGAGGGCTCACAAGGAGGAGGGAGGCTCCTCTGGACTTGGTGCAGCCTCTGCCCCTTCTCAGCTCGCTTGCTGGGACCCCCACTCTTTAGCTCCACCTTGTTTTCTGCTTTTTGGGGGTTTGGGACAGGATCTGTCAGCTGGAGTGCAGTGGCATGCTTATAGCGTGCTGCAGCCTCTACCTCCTAAGCTCAGTGGTCTCCCATCTCAGCCCCCCAAGGAGCTGGGACCATGGGCATGCGCCACAATGCCCAGCTACATTTTAATTTTTTTTTTTTTTATGGCCGGGCGCGGTGGCTCAAGCCTGTAATCCCAGCACTTTGGGAGGCCGAGGCGGGTGGATCACAAGGTCAAGAGATCGAGACCATCCTGGTCAACATGATGAAACCCCGTCTCTACTAAAACTACAAAAAATTAGCTGGGCATGGTGGCGCGTGCCTGTAATCCCAGCTACTCAGGAGGCTGAGGCAGGAGAATTGCCTGAACCCAGGAGGCGGAGGTCGCGGTGAGCCGAGATCGCGCCATTGCACTCCAGCCTGGGTAACAAGAGCGAAACTCCATCTCAAATAAATAAATAAATAAATAAATAAATAAAATAAAATAAAATTAAAAAAAAATTTTTTTACTTTTATTTTTTAGAGATGGGGTCTCTCTATGTTGCCCAGGCTGGTCTTGAACTCCTGGCCTCAAGCAATCCTCCCACCTTCACCTCCCAGGGTGCTGGAATTATAGGCATGAATCACCGCACCAGCCTCCAGCCCCACTTCTCACTCTCAAGAGCCCGGCACAAATCTTCCTGCGAACCTGGGCCCAGCTACATTCCCACACCTCTCTCCTGGACTCGGCCAGCGCTTCAGCAGGACCACCACCAATCCTGGGTTTCCCCCAGATTAATGCTTCCTGAACCTTCTATGCTGGAAGCTTCAGAGTCCCTGCGGACACAGTCACTGTCCCACCAGCCACTCCCTACTGGCCCCTCTTTCCCTCCTACTGTAAGACGCCCTGGATGCACCCTGCCTCTCTTCCCCCTCCTCTCCCCTCCTCCTCTTCCTTGCCCACCTCGTCCCATTGCCCTGCACACCAGCAAGGCTCAGCCTGCTCTGCGGAGACCTCCACTGGCACAGGCATGGCCTGAGGAGCACCCGGTGCATGGAAAGAGGGAAACCACCTGGCACCTTCATCTGGCCTCTAAATGCTGCTGCCAGCCTCCCTCAGCCCAGCCAGCCTCGCCTCTCTCCACCGGCTCTGCAGTTGCCTGCTCTGTCCAGGCCAGCCTGCTCCTGGCACCAGGGCAGTCTGGGTGGAAGCCTCTGACTCTCCTGTCAAAGCCCCTTCTGCCAAGGCCAATTCAAGGGCTGCCTCTCAGACTTCGGAGGCGTTACCGATCCCCCACATATAGTGGTCACTGGGTCCCATCCCATGTGTTCCCAGGGCACAGAACTGGAGGAGGAAGGGGGCTCCTGTGCCTGGGCTCCCAGCTATACCTGTCCCACACTCTGTGTGGCAGCCCTGCAGTTCCTGCCTGTCGCCTTCACACGGGGCACCCCCCCAGGCTGCCGGAGGGTTGGAGGGAGACCTGGGGAGAGAGGGAGCCCTGAGTGCCTTCTCTGCTCTCTCCCCACCCTCACTCCTGCCTTCTCATCCTTTATCCCCTGTCCGTCATCTCCCCCCTCCCGTTCACGCCCCCTCAGGGCTGGCCTGGCTCCTCCCTCCCTGCCCCCAGCACTCCTTCTCACACTGGGCCCCCCCGCCATCGCGCACCTGAACCTGGCCCTCACACCAGAGCCACAGGAGCGGTCGCAGGGAGCCCAGGTGGACCAGGCAGACCAGCCGCAGGGCAGGGGGCAGCCCCCTGGCTGGCACAGCAAATCTCCCTTCTCACACACGCTGCAGAGGAGGGATAAGCTGAGGAACTGGTCAGGGCTGGGGAGACGCCCAGCACCGTGCCCTCCCTGGCGCAGCCGCCCTCACCATTGGCTGCAGTTGGCCAGGAGGAAGGACACTCCTGGCCACTTGAGCTCTTCGCCCACCAGACAGGGGCACTCAGAGAGAGGCAGGCAGCGAGTGTCATGCAGGAGGAGCCCTGGGGGGCAGCGGCATCCTGGGAGTGTGTGGAAGAGGGCACTCAGCCCCAAGGGGCACAGTGGGGAGAGGAAGCTGGCGACTGGGAGCCAGTGGGTCTGGTGGTCTCCCCACATTCCCCCTGCAGGCCAGGTCTGCCTCACCTGCCACACAGTGCCCACTGCAGCTTCTGTTGGCCTTGGGGTCCAGGCAGGAAGGTGGGCATGGGGGCACCAGCCCCTTCTGGCACAGATCAGCACTCACATACACACGGCCCAGCTCGCAGTCTGGTGGGAGATGGGTGCCAGGTGAGCATCGGTGCTGGGAGGCCCAACCTCCCTGCCCCCAGCCCAGCTCCCCATTACCTGTGCCACCAGAGCAGGGCTGCAGGCCGCAGGGTGACCTCTCTTGGGAGGGCCCGGGGCAGGGGGCACCACCATTCTTGGGTGGGGGGTCCACACAGCTCCTCCAGCGACTCTGATGGCCACCCCCGCAGGAGACGCTGCAGGGTCCCCAGGCCTCCCACGTTGCCCACGCCCCAGCCACTGTTGGGGAAGGAAGGACATGGTTCTACCAGGAGAGGCCCAGGAGACACAGGCTGTGAGAGAGTGGCTACAGCCAGGACTCCCTGCCACCCTGGGCCTGGGCAGTGGCCAGCAAGGCAGCCAAAGGCTCTCCCCTGGGCACTCGGCCACTCCTCTTCTGACCCAGGAAACCTCCCATAGGAGGCAGATGCCTGGGGAACGGGCTCCAGGTGCCTCCCAGGACAAAACTCTGCTCCCTGGGAAGGGGCTGGGCCCACCGGAATCCTGGGGAGAGCTGCCCTGATGGCAGCGGCAACTGTAGGGCCACCCCAGCCAGGGAGGAGCCAGGTTGGGGCTGAGGAGGCCCCCATGTGGGGATCCCCTCTCTGCCAAGCACAGAGGTGAGTGGGGGGCCCTCCCTCAGATTCAAGGAAAAAAAGAGCGACAAGGCCTTCAGCATGGAGCCCAAGGACAAGTGGCACAGCCGGCCGACATCCAAGGCCTGGCTCCAAGCACCCTCACATGCCATCTCCCTGAATCCTTGCAGTGCCTTCGGAGGCAAGAATGACTGTTATTCCCAGGATATATACAAGAACCTGAGTCTCGGCTCAGGCAGGAAGAGAGAGGTAGGGCCAGCTGGGAGGGTCTCGGATAGAAACCCACCCCAGGTTTCCCACCTAAGCTTCCTGAGGAGACTGGGCGGGGGCTTCCCCATTTGCCTCTGGGAGCAGGGGCTTTCCTGAGGAAGGCTGGGGTGCAGGGTTACCTGGGCAGGCCTGCACGAAGCAGGACTGGCTTCGGAACCGGTCTCGAGGGCAGCTGCCTCCTGGCAGAGGAGGCCGCAGCAGCTGCTGGTGCTGGAAGGTGAGGCCCAGGCCACAGGTGCGACTGCAGCTGCTCCAGCCAGACCAGGGGGCCAGCACACAGTCCACTGCGGGGGCATGGGGGCTGGGGCTCAGAGGGGTTCACGCAGGAGAGGGCCCTCAGGGCTGCTCCTGCCCCGGCTGGCACATACCACAGTCATCCTCGTCTGAGCCGTCCTGGCAGTCGGGCCGCAGGTCACAGCGCCGCTCAGCAGACAGACACTCCCCACTGCCACACCTCAGCTGGCTCGGGGAACAGAGGGCCCTTGAGGCTGGAAGCCCAGGCAGGGCCGTGGTGGGCACCGTGAAGGGCACAGTGATTGCTGCCCGCAAGGCAGGGAGAGAAGGGAGCCGCATAAGTAGATTCCTGGCTGGACAATGCACTCAGCCCCTTCAACTCAGGCCAAGAGCTGAAATGAACTTTCTGACTGGAGGCCCTTGCCTTCACTGCCTCCTGATGCCTCCTGCATGCCGTGCCCAGAGCAGGCTTCCTTCCACTATGTGTTGGTGAGGTCATGGAGACTAAGGTGTACACAGGCCCTCACACAGAGATTCTAGATGCTCGGGTACCTTCTTTCTGAATGTGTACACCCTGGGGGGGGGCCCTTGTTGTGACTGATTAACACTTGATTTCTTTTGCCATGTTTGGAAGACTAAGCTTTGGTCATAGTGATCTACTTTGCAGGGATGGTTGGATGGATGGATGGATAAATGAATGGATGGATACATGGGTGGGTAGATGGATAGATAGATGGATAGATGGGTAGGTGGATGGATTAATGGATGGGTGTATGGGTAGGTGAGTGAACAGACGGATGGGTGGAGGGATGGATGGATGGGTAGATGAGTGAGTAGATGGATGCATGGGTAGCTGATGAATGGACAAATAGTGGGGGGTAGATGAATTGATGGGTGAATGGATGGGTGGCTGATAGACGCATGGGTGGATGTCAGATGGATGGATGGACAGGTGGGTGGCTGATAGATGAATGGATAGAGGGGTGGGGAGATGGATGAATGGATGGATGGGTGGATGGATGGGTGGGTGGATGGGTGGCTGACGGACAGATGGATAGATGGATTGATGGATGGATAGGTGAATAGATGGATGGATGGATGGGTAGATGGACAAATGGGTGGCTGGCTGGATGGGTGGCTGAGGAATACATGGATAGAGGGGTAGGTAGATGGATTTAGATGGATGAATTCGTGGATGATGAATAGATGGGTGGAAGGATGGATGAATGGACTGAAGGATGGATGGGTAGATCGATGCATGGTGGCTGGCTGAGGGTGGGTGGATCGAAGGATGGGTGGGTGGGTAGACAGATGGGTGGCTGATGGATGGATGAATGGATTGATGGATGGATGGGTGAACAGATGGATAGATGGATGGGCAGACAGATGCATGGTGGCTGGCTGGATAGGTGGATGGATGGATGGATGGATGGATGGGTAGACAGATGATGGGCGGCTGATGAATACATGAATAGAGGGGTAGGTAGATGGATGAATGGGTGGGTTAGTGGGTGGAAGGGTGGGTAGACAAATGGATAGATGGATAGAGGGGTGGGTAGACTGCTGAATGGGTGACTGAGTAGATGAGTCTCTTCAAAGGTCAAACAGGTTTCATAACACAGGCTGAGACCCAAGGCCTATCCTATTCCCCCTATTGACCAACCCCAAAAACAAACACTCCTGTTTTTACTCATTCTCTCCAACCCTGCTGCCCAAGCCTCTCCCAGATCCTTTTCAATATGAACTAGAAATGAGGGCAGAGACTTTCCTACCCTGAAGATCCTCTTGCCACCCCCTGCCTATAGGACAGCAGGCCCTCTGGGAGCTCACCACAGTGCCTCTCATCGGAGCCGTCGAGGCAATCCTCCCTGCCATCACACACCTGCACCTGTTCCACACAGCCCAGCACCTCGCAGGGCATCTGGCCGGGGCCACACTGCACAGGTGGGAAGGGCCCTGGGGCGACGCTCTGGTCTGTGGGCACAACACCACCAGCTGACCGGTCACTCAGCCTGCCCTGTCCTTTCTCCTTTGTCACCTCCCCGAAGCCCCCAACCTCGCTCCTCTTGACATCTTCTGTGCCCCATTCTACCTATCCTGGGATAATAGAAAAAAGGTAAACTGGGCTAGGAAGCTTGGTTCCTCCCCAAAATGACCTTGAGCTGTGTGACCTTGAACAAAGGGCCTCTGTCCCCCTCACAGGGAAGGTAGGCTCACAGAGCCTTTGCACACAGGTAGAAGGGCTTGGCATCTTACCAGAAGGGGTCACTGGAGTCACTGGGTGTGGGGGCAGAATTGTCACAGCTGCCATTCCTGGTGGCAGGGTCCTGGCCTCCATCTGGGACATGGGGGTGGTGGTCACTGTCTGCACAGATTCCCCATGGTCAGGTACTCTGGAGGCTGGGCCAGGACTCACAGGCCTTGTCTCTGTGGGTGGAGGCAGAGGGAGGTGAGGCTTTCCCAGCCTCAGGATGAGTTTATTGCTTCTGTTGTAAGCAAACAAACAAACAAATAACAACAATGACAAAAAGCTGATTTGGGGCTTCCTGGCAGCTATAGTGAAAACGGTTTAGAGTTTCACTTTCTGGCAAGAGACTCAGTCAAAGACAGTCTTTTTTTTTTTTTCTTTTTCTTTTTTTGGTAGAACCAGACTTAGAATGAAATTAGAATGCCTCCCATGGGTCCACATGTTATGGACCTGAGGGGTGGCATCAATTGCTTTGTCTGCTTTTTTACAAGACACAGAAACAGTCCGGCCAGGCTTCTGAATAACTTTCATCAGCACTCACAGGGAGGGGCCACGGAAGTTGTCTATAAGTTCTCCTAGAGTCACAGATGGGGAAAAGCAGGTGGCATAGGGAGGCCCAGGGGAGGGCCAGCTGGAATGAAAGAGCAACCCTGGCATCCTCACCCTCCTTTCTCTCCAGCCCCTGCTGCCCCAAGCCTCACCCACGTCCTTCCCTTAGGAGCTAAAATTAGGGCAGGAACCCCACCCACACCAAAGCCCTCTTACCACCCACTATCCCCACAGGGCAGGCCCTCCAGGAGGCAGCTCTCTGCTGGCTAACAGGCAGGTGAATGATCGGCTAGCTCCACGTAGCTCAAGGGAGGCTGGTCAATGACCAGGCAGAGCCCCTGCCTTGTCTTACATAGCAGCATGCTAACTTGGTGATGGCATCCAACCCCCTTGCCCACTTAAGAGACATTTGCTGCCAGCAAACGCTTCAGAAAGGAGGGCCTGGCTGCATGGATGGTGAGCAGAGGGAGTGCGGGCTGGACCAGGCAGGCTCCCACTCCCATGGGGGAGACCTGTCCTGACCAGGCCTCTGGGGAGGCAGCCACATGACAGGGCACAGGTCAGTGCTGGGAGCTGGCCTGGAGCCACCAGCCCCGCAGACCTACAGCCCTTATATCTTGGAATCCCAGGGGGTGGGCAGGGGCAGGACCTGGCCATGTCCATGGTGACCAGTGTCTCCTCCCTGAGCCAAACCTGCGGTTGTGGGGAAGTCAGGGGTCAGGGGATTTGAACCCCTGAGATGTAACTGCCCGGCTCTGGAAGAACAGGTGGGACAAGTGTTTGGGGAGGGGGCCTGGAGTCTGTACACACCTGTTGGGGCTGTGGACTCCTGCCCGGGAGGCCAGTGCTCAGTCTCTGCCAGGCCCTGCGGAGGGAAACAGCTCAGCACCCTACACAGCCCCATGCCCCAAGGGCAGCTCCCGTCCAATGAGGATGCAGCCTGGGTGCTCACAGTCCCAGTACTGCCTCCTGTCCATCTTCCTCCCCACAGCCCAGTGCAGAGCTGAGAATGCCACTACGCCTCCAGGCACCAGCCCACTGGCCTCCAGGAGCTCAGGGACTTTTTTCTCACCAGCCCACCAGGGCGATCTATTTCGGCTCTTGCCCCTAAACTCCCCTACCCCACACTCAATGCACGTGTCCCTCCGACCTCCTGCCCCACCCTCACACTCTGGGTTTCTGACCAGGCGGTTCCAGGTGGGAAGGTGCTCCACCCCATCTTCTCCACACTACAGACACCCCTCTCCATCCCTCGAGTCTTGTCCAGGAAGCCCATGGGGACCTGGGCACAGTGCTCTTTACGGCCCAGGGCACCAGATGCTCTGGTACCTGTCCCATGGGCATAAGCTCCCTACCAGGGGTGCAGGCCTCTCTTGTCCCCAAATCCCTCTAGGCCCTTGCTCTGCTCGCACGTCTGTGCCTGTGTTGCCCCAGCCCCCAGCCCTCTGCATGGCTCAAGGAAGGCTCCTGAGGGCCTGGCTGAGAGCAGCACCAGAGAACACATAGGCAGAAATGCTGCTGAGAGGGGAGATGCCACAGCCAGCGCAGGAGCAGGGCTGGTGAGGCCGTGAGGCGGGGTCCCTGTCCCCTCACTCCACCCTCCCAGCCCAAAGCTCTGCACTCACCTCCCTAGGCCAGTGCAGCAGCTGCCCCAGCTGGGCGGAGGAAAGGGCCAGGGTCTTGGCTGTGGAATGGACTCTGGGGAGAAAAATAGCCCAAAGGGCTCCAGTGTCCCCATCCAGGCAGGGGCGTCGGTGTTCTCTGGCCGGGCTTGGGGGTTTTGTTGGGCTGGACATTCAGGAAGGACTCTGCCCGCCGAGGCTGGACCAAGGTGATGTTCCTAACAGTGGCTTCCAACTTGACCGTGGGTTAGAATCTCCTGGGGGGCTTGTAAGACACACATTGCCGCGCCCCACCCCTGCAGACCTGGGCGGCCTGAGAACCTGCGCTTCTAACAAGCTCCAGGTGCTGCCAAGGCTGCTGGTCCAGGGCCCGCACTTGGAGAACCCCTGAATCAACTATGAGAAAGGCAGGGAATCATAGAATCCAGGCGGGACAGGGCCTTGAAGGCGCCCGGCTGCAGCTCCTCGGCACGCATGGTCTGGGCACCTGGGGGTGAAGGCAGTGCTAGGCCCCTCCCACATAGCTGTCCCCTGGAAGGCCAGTCCAAGGGTGTGAGTGGCACAGCTGGGCACAGCATACCTGCTAATGCCCTCAGATGGCAGCACACAGCCCTCCTCGTCCGAGCCATCCTCACAGTCCAGAACTCCATTGCATGGGCCCCCTCTCAGGGTACACTCACCACTGGCACAGCGGAGCCCAGCCTCTGGGCACAGAGGTGCCAGTGGAGACCCTGCATGGGGGACGTATGGCTGAGGGCTCCAGCCGTGAGCCCTCTTTCTCCTGCCCTACCCACCGCTGAGCCACCTGTACCTGGCTCGCAGCCCAGCAGCTCCACCCGCAGGGGGACATCGCTGTGGTGGTCATCATGGGGCTGCACCCTGACAAACCTCGCCTCCACCATCCGGCCAAAGGTCCATACAGTGGGGTCCAGGTCGTCCCAGTTTCTGGGGAGAAGCTGCCGGCAGAGGATGCTGCTGACGGAGCTCCACCTCTTGCTCAGGCTGACCCTGTGACTTTCTGAGTGACCCCACTTTTCCCCCAGCTTTCACGGCCCCTCCCAGAGCCATGCCCCCAACCCTGGCAGTCGACATTTGGGTCTCTCAAGGCTGGAGGGGGCTGGTCCTGGATCGAGCTCCTCCCGCAGGGCTGGAGGTGCCCCGAGGGCAAGGGCCAGGTCCTGTTCACTGCTATGTCCCCAGGACCTGGCCCAGCACCTGGCCCAGAGCAGGTGCTCCTGAAATAGTTAAGACTTAACACACAGCATGGACTGATTCTTGCTGCTTCACGAGGTTTGTCTCCGGGAAGGATGCAAACCCCTTGAGGGCAGGGCTATGCCCAGGCTGCTCTCCACAAAGGCCTGCCTGGGTCTGGACGCCTGGAGGCCCTCTGTGAACTTGGTGTATCCTTGCCCTCTCTCCCTTGTGGACCTCACATACCTGCCCCAAGTCTGAGCCACTTGGACGGTTTCCAGCATCCATGTGACGCTGGCACCCAAGCCTCGGCTCTGCAGAGCACGGTCCCGGCTACTCCCCAGGTGCTCAACCAGCATCGAATGCAGGAAATGCCCCTGGGGAGACTGGAAGACCCTTGGGGACAGAGACTATGGAACCCACAAAGGAGCATGGTGAGCCACTGGTCCTATGGGCCTTGGGTGGGTGGTACCTTGGGCAGGGGCAAGATGCCAGGCAGGATGTCATGATAGTCATGCCAGTGTAGACCACTGCTGCTGAACTGGAGTGAGAAGCTGGTGGCATAAGGGTCGGAGGAGCCAGTCTCTGGCACTATGATGCCTGGGGAGGGGCCATGGCAAGAGCAGAGGTCAGAGCTCAAGAAGCTACACCCACCCCCAGTCACCACTGCCTTCCCCTCGAGCACTGCCCCCCTCACTGACCAGTGAGGTTCCGGGGCTGAAGCAGGTCCAGCTGCAGGAAATGGGGCCGGGTGTGCCACTTGGCATAAGCATCCTCTCCACCGTGCCATCCCTGAGGGCCAGGCCCCCGGGTGGGAGCCCCCAGGAGGGCAGCCCAGGTTGGGTGTTCCAGCTGCTGGGACGATGCATGAGGACTCCCATCGGCCAGTCTGGCCAGCCCCAGGGGAGAATAGCAGGGGTCTGGGTGCAGAATAGAGAGAGAGGCTGGAGCAGGGGAAGACAGAGGGCAGCAGGAGCCTGCAGGGACACGGTTAGGAAGTCACATGGGGACCTGGGGGACGTGAAAGGCCCACACAGGTGAGCTTGGCCCAGGGAGGGAAGAATCGAGAGAGGCAACTTAAGACAGGATGACTCCCAGATCCTTAGGAGGGCCATCCACTGTGTGAAAGGCAAGTAGGATGTCCCCAAGGTCTTGTTCCCCTCCCAGGTTGGACAACCCCTGGGCAGTATGGCCCCTCTCAGCACCGCACTGCACGGCACGTGGCTCTTACCTCCCAGCGGAGGCAGAATGTAAGTGGCCAAAGGGAATCTGATCTGGGGACTGGGGACCGGAGCTGCGGTGGGAGTGGCCATGGGCTGGACTGTCCGGTTCTCTACTGTGGAAAGAGACTTCAGGGTCAGGAGGGAGAGACTGACAGGCTCACAGATCCTGGCCAGCACTCAGGCCTCTCCCTGCCTCCTAGAGCACTTTCTCAGTGCTGACTTCCCAGGAGCAACCTCCTAGCTGGGAAAGGTCCCTCCTCCTTCCCTTGGTGTGAATTGGGGGCTTTCACTTCCACCGAATATTTAGAGAACATAGAGTAAAACTGCCAGGGTGGAATGACTTCAGGCCCAGGACCCAGCAGCTGCAGTTCCTCATCCAGGGATGTTGTCACAAAAGAGTCACCTTCGGGGGCATCAGAAAGGGGCTGCCTCAGCATGGAAGCAGCTCTGGAGGCTGAAGTCCAGGCTCCAATCACCAGCTAACTTACACAGTGAACAACCTGTGCAACCGAGTATGCTGGCTCTGTTTCACCTCAGCAACCTGTGGATGCACTTTTAGGATACAAAAGCTGCAGCCTGGTCAACATGGCGAAACTCTCTCTACTAAAAATATGAAAATTAGCTGGGCATGGTGGCACACATTTAGCCCCAGCCACTCGGGACACTGAGGCACAAGAATTGCTTGAAGCCAGGGGGCAGAGGTTGCAGTGAATTGAGATCACACCTGGGCATCAGAGCAAGACCATGTCTCAAAAAAAAAAAAGAAAGCTGGACCCATAAATGCATTCAAGCCTTTGTATTTTCCTGTTTCATTTATAACTTGTTTCCAGGCAAAGACACTTTTGAAAAGTCCAACTTAACGTTGTCTTGGCTGCTCTGAGGGGAAAAGAAAAGCAACCAGACCTGGCTGAGCAGAACCAGAGGAAAGAGGGCACCCTCAAAGGTGGCACCATGGGGGAGGCAGAAAGCTCCCAGAGCACAGGGAGACAGGTGGAGAGGGAGGGCAGAGAGAAACCTTCCCACCTGATGGCCCCCCTTCCCTGGGCATGCAGAACTCAGGCTTCCTGCCACCCTGAGGCTGGGGTATCCAGCCACCCACGCTCAGTGCCCCGGGTTCCCTCTGAGACCCCACCATTTGATCTTCCTCCCCGGGGCTTCTCTGACATTCCCCAGGCACACTCACCAGCTAGGGCACAGTGGCAGCATGATTCTCCTGTCCCCTCCACCAAGACCCAGCCCTGTGGAGGCGCAGAGGTCAGGGCGCCTGCCTATCCCCAACCCACTCTCCCGGCCTCCACACGCCCTCCAGCTCTGCCCACCACTCACCCCACTGCCCTCACCTGGGGACAGCTGCCCAGCGGGCAGTAGGGTGAGCAGCGTGTGGTGAGGTTGTACAGACACTGGCACACCCTGCAGGGGCCCCCACGCCAGCGTTCCCCGACACGGTGGACCTGGCCCCGGTGCTCACATCCCTCACAGGGCTCCGTCTGGCACCTGAGAAGAGAGGGGTGTCCCTGGCCTGGTGAGGGGCTTGCTCAGGGTCAACAACCCTCGTGGTTTGCCTGGATTGATGGCATTCCCGGGACTTGGGACTTTCTGTGACATTTGGCCACCCTATAAGCCCACTCTGCCCCTGCACCTGAGGCACTGCAACTGGCCCAGAAGAAGGCCAGGGAAGTTATTTGGGCCAGGACTGCAGCCAGGCAGCAGGTCCCAGAGGAGGCTGGGGAGGCAGATACGGCAACAGCCCCTTGCAAGCTCAGCCCAGGAATTCAAGCTGAGTTTGTCAAGCTGCAGCTATGGGCTCTGTCTACCCACCTTCAGAACCCAGAGGGCATAAAACTAAAGGAGAAGGTCAGGGCTCCCCAAAGAGGTGCTGGGACACCTGGGGTTTGGATGGGTAGAGGAACAAGGCCGGGGTTCTGAACTGGGTGTGTGTGTGGTGTGTGTGGAAGGGGCACGAAGGAAGCTTCCTAAGTGGGAGTTGGGGTGTGGATCAAGCCTCCTGCAGGTCCCCCCGTGGGTGGGGAACAGAGCACCTGCGTGCCTTGCGGTGGATGCCACGGCACTGGCGACCTCGGCCAGAGGGGCGGGGGTTGTTAGGGCTCCGGAAGGACCACTGGATGCTCTGGCTTCCACAGGGGCCCAGGCACTCAGCCCAGGGTGACCAGGAGGACCAACCGCAGTGCACTGAGGGAGGGCCAAGAGTCAGGGCCTGGAGGAGGTGGCGGATGCGCAGCCGGGCGGTCCAGGGAGGGGACTAGGGACCCCGAGGGAAGGGCCTCACCAGCGCAGTCTGGGTTGAGTCGGCAGCGCCGGGGCCGCCCGTCTTGGCAGATGCAGAGCTGGCAGTCAGCCTTGATGCGCTGCCCAGGCCAGTAGCGGGTGCCATCCACCTGGCAGGGGCACTGCCGGGGCCATACACACCACCCCTCGCTGCCCAGCACCTGCCCTTCTGGGCACCAGCAGCCTAGAGGGGGCCCAGGGTGAGGCTTCCATGCAGAGAGCTCAGTTGCCCTAGACCGTCCACCTGGAGCCTGAGCCTGGACCCAGAGCCCCCTTACCTGGGCTGCCGCAGGGCCGGTCAGGTGGGCACATGACCTGACCAGAGATGTCATCACAGGTCAGTGGGCAGGGGGCACAGGGCCGGAACACCAGCTCCCCAGAGCAGGTGGCATTGAGGCAGCCGTCCTGAGGGCAAGGCTCTGAGACAAGCCAGAAGCGGAAGTCAGAGGTCAGGGAAGGAGCTCTGTGGAGGGGATGGCCTCCCGCCAGCAGGGCGGTCCTCTCTTCCACTCACTGGTCTGGCGGGCACTGTGCGGGCCTCCAGGCAGGGCAGCGCAGGTGAGGCCTCCATTCTGGGGTGGGTGGCACTGCCGCTGCCGCGTCATGGTGCCCCTGCACGGCTCAGAGCACAGAGACCAGGGGGACCAGGCGCTCCATTCACCATCCACTGTGAGGCAGAGGAATGGGGGGGGGATGGTGGGGACCATGGGGGAGGGCTGAAGGCCTAGTGACCTCCTCCCTTCCTCTATCCAGGCCCCACTGCCCCAGCCCCTCACCTGGGCAGGCTGCCATAAAGCAGGCCTGAGACTGCTGCTCTGGCCCCTGGCAGTGTCACAGCACCAGGAGGCCGGGTGGGGCGCAGCGGCGGCTCCGGGCCTGCACCCCCGGCCCACATGTGCGGCTGCAGGGTCCCCACGGGCTCCAGGGGCCCCAAGCCCCACAACCCTGCTCTTCTGGGGAGGGGCCCGCTTGCCCTGGCCCTCCACAGTCAGGCTGCCAGTCACACACCTGGGGAGGGAGTGGGGTCAGGGCCCACGTGCTGGGGGGCACTATGGTGCTGCCGCCTCCACCACCCAGTCCCACCCTCACCAGCTGGAAGCCTATGCAGGTGCCATTGGGGCAGGCGTATTCTGGGCAAGGAAGCCCTGTCCTGTTGGGGCCTCCTGGGGCTGGCAGGCCCCCTGGGGAAGAAGAGGAGAAAAGACACAGTGAGCAGGAGGTGCAAGCTGGGGCCTGGGGCCAGGCATCCCTCAAGGAACAGCGTCCTCACCACAGTCCAGCTCATCCTCGCCCTGGGGACAGTCTGGGATCCCATCGCAGAGCTGCTTGGGGGTCAGGCACAACCCTGGAGCCACACCACAGGGAAAGAGGCCAGGGCACGGAGGTAGCTGGGTGGAGCCTGCGGGCACCGCGAGAAGTGTCCTGCTTGCTCTGTCCCCTCCTGCCCCCTCCCGCCCCCTCCCTGCAGGGAGCAGGAAGGCCAGTGGAAGGCGGCGGGGCAGGCCAGCCTGGGAGGAGCCAGGGCCTCTGGACAGCTCCCTCTAGGGAGGTAGGCAGGACCCCAGGGCTGGCTTGCAGGGACACAAAGGGTCTGCTCAGGTCTGGTGGGAAAACGCTGAGGGCGGGGACCCCTCCAAATAGACCCACTCCCCACCCCGGCAGAGCCTCTGCCCACCCTTTTATCCCTTCTTGCCCAGGTGTGAGCAAAGGCAACAGCCCTTTTCTTCTCTCTCCTGGGCTTAGGTAGTAGAGCAAAAAATTTTCAAATAAAATTTCACTCAAAAGATCAAAGGAACACAAACGCGGCCCAGCCTCCGATGCCCCCAAGTCTAAATGGCTGTAGCTGCCGTGCCCGCGCCCAGGTGCTGGGGAGAGGTGGGGTCCCTGCTTGGCCAGCTGGGGGTGGGGGGCGCACGGGCGGGGGCGCGGGAGCCTCACCGCAGGCGTCGGGGCCCTCGTCCGAGCCGTCGGGACACTGCCGCACGCCGTCGCAAAGCTGCTCCGGGGACACGCAGTGCGGGCGGCGGGCGCAGGGTGCGAGGTGCGGCGCGCAGGGCTCTCCGCAGTCGTGCTCGTCGCTGGTCAGCGCAGTCCTCTTCCTCGTCGCAGCGCCAGCCCCGCGGGGTGCACTCGCCACTGCCGCACGGAAACTCGAAGGGGCCGCAGGGCGGCGCTGCGGGGTGCGGCGGCGCTGCGGGGTGCGTCCGCGCTGGACCCTCGGCGGGTGAGCGCCCTCCCGACCCCAACCGCGCCCAGGCCCGCCTCGCCCTTCCGCCCCCACCACCGCTCCCCTCCCTGCTCCAAGTCCCTCGGCCCTTTCCTGGGCCCCGGCCCTAGCCCACCTGCAGCCCCTTCCCAAGAACAATCCCTCCTGCCTGTTGCTGCCCTGTTGGTTTTCCCAAAGCTCTCCCCTGGGCCAAGAATCTCCACGCGACTCGCTGCAGCTGGCAGAGAGGCCTTGAACGCCAGGAAACAGCGTGGACTCTTTCAAACGCCCTCCACTTCATTCGTTCCAGTGTCTTCGGGAGTCTCCCGCTGTGCCCTGCTCCTTTCCATCCCAGAGCAGCGCCACAAAATCCTCTCTCCGCGGCTTCGACGGGCCTCTCCCCCAGGCTTCTGGCCACCAGCTTTCCCACCCCTTCCCTCCAGGATACTCACCAGGGCTGGCGCTGGCCAGGGGACTTGGCATAGTGTCCAGGGAGCCAGGGGAGGGGCTGGGCACCATGCCGGCAGGAGGCGTGGGCAGAGAAGGGAGGGGGCAGTGTCCCGGCCCCTCATCGGCTCCATCTGGGCAGTCCCAGGTTCCATCACACAGCTGGATGGCTCCCAGGCAGGTGCCATCAACACAGGACACCTCCCCGGGGACACAAGTCACCTGCCCTGCAGCTGGAAAAAAGAGCTGGCCCTCAGGCACTGCCCTGTACTCTTACTGTTTGGGATGCCCAAACTCCCACACCCTGGGGGCCAACTTCATAGCAGGAACCGGGCAGAGGAGAGGGCAGGTGAAGCTGGGGCTCATGAGGAGATGGGCCTTGCGGGAGGGGGTGCTGGGCAGGCTGGCGTCCAGGGCAGGGACAACTCACCCAGACAGGACTCCTCGTCGGCGGCATCCGGACAGTCAGGATGTCCATCACAGAGCAGGGCTGGGGCCAGGCAGCGTCCATTGGCACAGGCCAGCAAGCCCTGTGGGCATGGGCAGCCCTGCTCATCCGTGCCATCTCCACAGTCATCCTGACCGTCACAGAGCAGGGCCAGGGGCAGACATTGGCCAGAGCTGCAAGCCATCTTCCCCTCCCCACAGCCTGGGGCGACACAACCTAGCACAGGGCAAGCAGGCAAGCTCAGGATGATGCTGGAGGGGACCAGAGAAGCCCTCAACCCCAGAGGGACCAGAACACCCTCCCTTCCCCCATCCCTCCAAGCCACAGATAGCCCCTGGCAATGGGAGCAGCAGCTAAGGAAGCCACCCCGGGACCCAGGAAACTGTTACATGTGCAAGTACTGACCAACCCTGTTGCTTCCACACATGGGCACTCACCCTCCTCGTCAGAGCCATCACCACAGTCGTCCTGGTTGTCACAAAGCCACTCATGGGGCACACAGTGCCCACTCACTTGGCACATGACCTCTCCCTCTGCACAGCCAGGCACCAGCTCCTCACAGTGGGCACCATCACCCCCACAATGCCACTGACCTTCCTGGCACGTGCTGAGCACACAGTGTCCTGGGATTAGCCACAGGCTGGGTTTGGCCCAGGGCTCCTTCTATAGGTCCCCCCACTCCAGGTGAACCCCCCCACTCACCAGTTCCCACAGTCCTTCTGCAGCACAGACCCCGGTGGGAAGGAGTTGCTGCCCCACTCACAGGGGCAGGAAGCTGGCTTCAAGCAGGCTTCTCCTGAGGTCAGAGTACGGGGCTCAGAGCAAAAGGGCACAGTGGCCCCTTCCCAGTCTCAGCGCCCCTCCCCTCCGAACTTTCTCACTCTACGCACCATGCAACAGAGTCCCCTCAGGGCAGAAACAGCCCTCCACGCAGGCCACCGCCTGGCAGTGCCACCCGGGCTCAGGATGCTGCTCATGGCAGGTGGGGGGACACGTGGGGCCACAGGCCTCATACACCTGTCCCCCTTCACACTGCAGGGCTGGGTGGAGAGAAGAGAGCTTGGATCACCGAGGCACAAGGGCAACAGGATGCAGCTACACCAGGCTGGCTGGCCGGCCAAGGTGACCCCATGGAGGGCACAGGGTGTCTGGTGTAGACCTTGCCCAAGACCCTCCTGGGCCAATGTGTGCCACGTCAGCTCTACTCGGCTGCCGTTCTTGCATATAGGCCTCATCTAGAAAAGTGTCTGGCACAGAGTGAGCACTCAGTGCTCAACTTGCCCTTGAATGAATGAACAGCCCCCTCATGGGACAGGAGAAGCTCTTTCAAGAAGCTGAGCCTGCAGCAGGATTGACCATCGGGGACTGAGGGCGGGGCACACTCACGGCAGAGCTCCTGGCTACGCCAGTGCACGTGGTGCCCATGCCGGGCGCACTCGTCTGCATAGGTGGCAATGGCCGAGCAGAGGCACTCACAGTCACCCCCTGAGTCGCAGCTGTGGGAGGAAGCATTCAGTCCCAGCACCTCCACACCCTGGCACCCCCACCTCCACCCCTCTCCAGGTTGGTCCCTCCTTACCCGCAGGCATCGTACAGGCACCACTCATAGTGCTGCTGTGGGGGTACCTCTGCATGGCATGATTTGAAGAGCGGCTGCAGCAGCACCCCGCAGCGGGCCCTGGCCCAGCCAGCCCGGTGTGTGTTCACCTGCAGGCACAGGTGGCATCTCCAGCACAGGGGACCAGCGGGCACCCTCCCTGGCCCTCAGCCTCTAGGAAGCTCCCTTCCTGCTTTCCTGCTTGCACTCACCGTGCAGGGGTGTGGCAGATCTCCTGGCTCAGGGCAGAGGGGGCTGAGGCGCCAGGAGTGGGCAGCCAGTTCAGCCGTGGGCTCCAGGACGCCCTGGCGGCTTCGCAGATCATTACTGGCATCTCCATCAAAGTCGCCACACAGCCCAGCCACGCGACCACGGAACTGAGGGGACAGCTGCACCAGGACCCGAGTCCCTGATAGCAGCATGGTTAAAAGTGACCCCACCGGCCCTCATCTGGGCCAGAAGACCCAGAGTCTGTTTTACCACCACGGGGTACCACCTCCACCAGGGGGTGTGGTACCTCTTTTCGGGGGAAATGACTGGTGATGATAAATGAAGATATATTTGGGGGGCTCAAGGTGGGAAGTAGGAGCCTATTCTCCTAACTAAGACTAGACCAAGGACTCTGGGAAGGGAAATTCTCCATCAGGTCAGATTCCGATGGAAACCAGGCTCCAGGAAGGACTGTGAGACCCAGTAGCACTGGCCTCAGTGGCCACAGGCTGGGAGGGTGGCCCAGTGGCTCGGAGCCAGGTCCATATGGGGGGGTATCTGGGTTTCCCTCTGTTCCATGATAGCAGTGACATTTCTAAAACGCCAACGGCTTGTGTCTGGGTGATGGGAAGTTAGGAGATTTATTTTCATTTCACCTTTCTAAAACTTGGTATTTTCTCAATGTTTTCTTGGTGTGGAAGGATTGCTTTCATAATGATGAAAAAGATAATTATGAAAACTTAATTTTTAAAAAAATTTTCTCTTGTTCTGTTGTCCAGGCTAAGTGCAGTGGGGTGATCCTGGTTTACCTCCGTCCCAGAGCAGCGTGAGGCCCAGGCGGGTCGAGAGCAGCAGGAAGAGGCCAGCATGACGCAGGCTCAGCCCAGGGCCCGTGTAGACCTTAGGGGGCGTCACGCTCACCCCATTCACTGTCACTGCCCGGCCTGTGGAGCAAGAGAGGCATTCAGGCCCAGCCTGGAGGAAAGGGCCCCCCAGGTCCTCATGAGGCTCTCTAGCTCCCCACTCCAGCCCTTTTACTTCTCTATATATGTGACCCTGGCACGTCATTAGACTTCCCTGCAAGCCTAATTTCTGGAAGGCTTCCTATATTATGAGTCCCAGCCAAAAGGAGAGGCACCAACCCCATAGCACGGAGTGCAGCCAAGCCCGGTAAGGAGCGGGCAAACACAGGGAACCCCGTCCCTGCCCACCCTGCGCAGCTGGGAAGCCACATAGCTGTGCCCCTCCCTGGCAACGTCCCCCTTCAGTGCTGCAGCCACCTCTGAGCATGTGCACAGCAGTGCCCTCCAGACGCACGGCCAACGCTTTGGTGCAGGTGAGACCGCTGGCCCCACAGGGTAGGTTCTGGGCAGAGACTGTGAATAGGCCACTGGCCTCTCGCACCAGCAGATACTCGCAGGCTCCGGGAAAGGTGAAGGCCAGTCCGTCAAACGTCACATAGTGCGGGGCGCCTGACGCCTGGCACCGCCCACTGCAACGCTGACCTGTGCAGTGCCACTGCCGGCCCTGGCACACACTGTGAGCAAGGTGGGGGAAACAGAGTCACTGAGGACAGGGTCCTGGGAGCTGGATCCAGGGGGAGTAGCTGGTCCTGGATCCAGGCAATTTCAGCAGCCCCCAGTGTGGAGGGGTCCTGCAGGGTTCCCCTGGCCCAGGCCAGTCTGGATACCCCAGCCCCCACCGCCCCGACCCCTTCTGCTGGAGGGATGGATGACGTGTGGGGAGCTGTGGGCCACAAGGTCAAAGGGTCAGAGGTCACTGCAGTTGGGCATACCAAACGTTGCAGTCTTCCTGGATGGTGGCGTTGGGCAGGTACCACTGCCCACTGTGACGGCAGGGACAGAGGTCAGGAGGCACACAGCGCTCATCCTGGGCAGAGGGCAGGGACAAAGGGCACTGTGTAGGGGTGTGAGGGGAGCAGGGCAGCACCCTGGCTTAAGGAAGGCCATCCTGCTTCCCCACACAGCTCCTTCTTGGACTCACCAGCAGCACCATGCCTGATGGACAGACACAGCCATCAGTACTGCCTGCAGGGCAGGAGTGATTGGCGCTGGGGCTGTCACAGGTGAGGAGGCAGGCACCAGGGGCATAGACAAGCTCCCCGGGGCAGAATGCCTGCTGTGGGGGGCAGCGGCGACCTGTGCAATTCCAGAGGCCCCTTTCCTGGCAGATGCTGCAGGAGGTTGAGGAGTAAGAGCCAAGTCCAAGCCACAGCGACCTGGTCTGACATGGTGAGAGTCTCCGGATCCCAGACGCTGGGTTCCCAGGTGTCCAGGTCCCATGATGTTGAGTGAAAACCCAGCCCTGATGCTGGAGACCGGAGCATCTCAGCTCCCAACACCCAGTCACCAGCACAGGGAGTTGGGCCGTTTCCAGCACCCTGACATTCTTGGGATAGACATTGTCACCCTTTCTGTCCCAGCTCCAGTAGGGCCATCCTCCAGGCTCTGGAGCAGGACAGAGATATTGAACCACTCTACTCCCAGCTCAATAGGAGAGGGATTGCACTGAAACCTGCACCCTCAGCCCCCACCTTTACCAAGCCCTGGATCCTGGCCCTGCCTACCCAGGTCCATAACCTGCCTTCACTTCTCATGAACAAGCTGTGTGATTCTGCATGCTGTTTAGTTTATCTGAGCCTCAGTTTCCTCATCTGTGAAATGGGTACAATTTTTCCACTTCTTACTTTACTAGGTTATGGTAGGAAAGTAAAAGTAAAGAAAATGATGCACATGAAAGTGCTTTATGGACCCTGAAGTGCCCAATGACCTAGGGGAAGTGGTCAGCACTCTGTCACCCAAAGCGTGCGACTAGCAATGCTGCACAGTCCACCCATTGTCTCCCAAGCTACCTCTTCACCCCACATTCTCCCTCTTGCCCCAAAGGTAGCTGCCCTCACCAGCGGTTGCAGTCCTTCATGGTGGCACTGCCAGGGGCATAGCGACGGGCTCCAAGCTGGCAGGGGCACAAGCTGGGGGGCACACACTGGCCCTCAGGGTCCCACAGCAGCCCCGAAGGACAGTTACAACCGGCCACACAGCTGCCCAGTTCCCCACAGTCCTCTGGCTCCCCGCAGTGTTGGCCGCATATTTGGGCACACTCTCGGTACTCCTGACCACCAGGACACAGAACAGCTGGGTACAGGGACATACACAGGTCAGGGGCATAGCCACCGTCGGCTCTCTCCACTCCCTGTGAACCCCATACCCCACACCCCCTGTGCCTTTACAGGAAGAAAAGCCCAGTCATCTGTCAAGGTTAGAGGTGCAGCCCGGGCCCCCAGCAATTCCTGGAAAGGGGATGGATGAAGGAGGAGGGGAGGGGCCTGGGGTAGGGCTGGCTGGGCTGAGCGAACTCACGGCAGAGGGTCTGGTTCCTCCAGGGAGTTGAGGCACCTTCCTGGGCACAACGACGTGCATAGGCAGACAGCACTGGGCACAGACAGTCCCTGCCAGGGTCACAGCCACACACAGCTGCCAGGCAGCGCAGATGGAATGGCTCCCTGTCCACTAGCCCGTGGCATTCCTTGGGAGGAGATGGGGAAATGGGTCAAATTCTCTTCCACGGAGTCTACATCCCTGCGGTCCCCAATACCCCACTCTCTGGGCTTGTCTGGCCTCCCTTGTTCCTCCCAAGAGCCCAGGTGGAGGGCAGGGCAGGTGTTGGCCCATCTTATGGATATAGGAGGAGCCCAGCTCAGCTACCTGGAAGACAGGGCTATGCAGGACGGCACAGGCTGCTTCTGCGAAGGCATGGCGCTGGGAGTGGGTGGTGCATGGGGAGAGCAGGGCACGGTCCCCAGAGGGGCATCTTCCCTTGCTGGCCACCTGGAACTTGCTAGCAAAGTCGGCAATGCTAGTTTCCACATCCCCGGCTGGTGTCAGGAAGTCATCCTGCTGGTTCTGGGTGAAGGTGCCACACAGACCCTGCACCTGGCCACAGACGTGCATGTAAGACAGCTGAATGCAGTCCCACTGCAGCCTTGCGCAGCCACCCACCCACCTCACTGGCACACCTGGTGGGCATGGCGGGGGTCCAGGGTGATGTAGGCTGCAGGGTCAGACAGTCCCCAGAGCACCTGGGCCCCAGGCCAGCGCAGCAGCAGGAAGGAGGAGGAAGCTCGGCGCACACTGAGGCCCTCAGTGCCAATCCAGGGCAAGCCCACGTCCTGCCCATTGACCAGCACAGCTCCTGGAACAGGGGAGCCTTGTGATGGGGGTGGGGCAGTTGGAAGGACAGGGCTGCAGGAAGGGAAGGAGCTTGGGTGGGAAGTAGGAGGTGCCATGTCAGGGTGGGCTGCTGGGGACAACTGGAGTTACACCTGAGCCCCCTACCCCTGCAGCTCAAGGACTACTCTCGGCACACAGATGTGCCAGTCCCTCACCCTCATGGTAAGTGTGCTGGGGAGCTGCATGGGGAGGGTTGGAGGGGCCCTGCTGAGGGTGGCCTGCCTGGTCTGGTCATGCCTTGAGGCCTTTCAAGCTCTCATAGCTGTGTGGCTCGTATTTGACCCCAAGACAGAGCAGACGATGCCCTGGAACAGCTCCTCAGGACCTGTGTCTGCTTCAGAGACTGTGTCTGCTTCCCCAGGAGGGCCGGGGAAGTTGAGGTAGTGTGCTCAGGTGCAGGAGTCTGGGGGAGAATGTTTGGACTCCAAAGTCACAGGGCAGTGTGGAGGGGGAGCAGTGACAAGAGGCCTGGGACTTCCCCAGGAGTGCAGAGCAGAGGCTACCTGAGTCCCTGAGCTGGATGTGGGTGTCCTCCAGGGAGACCGAGATGGCGTGGAGGCAGCTCCCAGCCTCGCAGGCCCCATGCTCCAGCAGGATCAGTAGCTGTCCCTTCACATAGTCCTGGGGCGGGCAGGGGGAATTCAGTGGGGCTGGGCGGGCCGACCCTCTCTGGGGAGCGTCTTGGGGAGGATACTGGAGACCTTCCCTACAGGACACCTTTAGCACGCGCCTGGAGGCAGCTGGCCACCTTCTGGCCAGCCAGATGCTCTGCCAGGTCAGGGTCTTCACCCTCACCAAGGGTGGGCATGCATGGATATGTGTGTGTGTGTGTGTGTGTGTGTGTGTGTGTGTGTGTGTAGGGCCATGGATGTGCACATGAGTGTCATGTGGAGGTATGTGTGCGCATGTTTGTGTGTGCACCAGTGTGTGTATGTAACTGCATGTCCGCATGTTGGGGTGAGATGACTCTTCTCTTTCCTCCCCATGGGTATGTATGTTCTCCCGTATGTGTGTGCATGTGTACATGCACATGAGCGTGTGTCAGGTGTGTATGTCTGTGTCTCTGTGTAAGTGTGAACATGGGTACATGTATATGTGTATGTGTGCATAGAAGTCTCTGTGTTGGTGTGCAGCCTGTGTGTGTGTGTGCACATGCAGATCTCTGTGTGTTGGTGTG